TACACACATTAAACAATAATTACCTGTTTTCCCCTCCCTTTAGCCTGATCCACCTCTGCCATACTCTTTCTCTATGAATTTGCCTACTCATACTGTATTATTCTTTTGGGTCTAGCTTATTTCATTTAGTGTACTGACCTTGTTCAGGGACCTTACTTCATCCATGTTGTAGCATGTGTCAGAATTCTACATGTTGAATAATACTTCATTGTATGTATTTACTGCATTTTGTGTATTCATTCATCTATCAACAGGTATTTGTGTTATTTCCACTTTCTGGATATCCTACCAACATCAGGGGCACCATTTCTCTACCTCCTCACCAACACTTGTTACTTTTTTCTTCTTAATAAAAGCTATCTTAATGGATGTGAAGTGTTATTTTATTTTCAATTCTCATTTCCCTAACAAAATAATGAGAATCCTTGTGACCTGTCATCGCCCCAACACTATCATTTATAACTTGGTGCTTTTACTCTGCCAGCCTCTGCCTGGAATCATTCTCAGCTTCCTTTACTAGCTCCACCTTTAAGACACAGCTTAAACATCGTATCCACAAAGTCTTCTTGCAAACTGTAGATTAGGGGACCTTAAGCAGAGTCTCAGGGTCCTGTACTACTAGAGGCTATGGGAGGTGCTGATATGTGAGGGAAGGAGAGTAAGCCATTGGACTAAAAGAAGTGGTTTCATTGAAAATCTGTATGGAGAACAACTGAACTCCAAGAGCCCCTCCTTCACCACAAACAGCCAGGCGGCAAATAATGAAGGTGGATTTCCCTTCAAGCAAGAGCAGGCCACTCAGCTCCAACAGTGCACTTAGCTGACAGCCTCCCCTGCTAGCTTCAGGATTCACCTTCACTGTTTCTGAGCAGTCTTTAGGCAATGACTGAACACAACAGGGAAGCGGGCCACTGCCACCCATGGGGACTTCTCTAACAAGAAGCCTTTGCTCTGGACCTTCCTGTTGAATTGAGATTTTGTCTCATCTGTGTCATAGATTGAGCTCTTTGCCAACTCTTCTTCCTTTCTTTCACAGTTGATAGATCTGCAATGCAGCCCTAGAATTTCTCTTGCCCAATTCTACATCCTCCCTTTTCTCTCATTTTTCTCCCTCCTCAATAAACTCCCTGCGTCTCAACCCTGTCTCAGTCACTGCTTCCCAGAGGATGCAACTGGAACAGGTGGCTCCAAGAGTGATCTAATATGGCAGCTGGGAAGACGGGTTTGGAATTGGATCACCTGCCTGGCTGGTCAGGAGAATACTGCGGGGAGAGCACAAATAGTCCCTGGTGCAAAGTGGGCCTCCCACCTGCTAGGATGTTCATGGAGGGTGACCAGGGAGAATGTTCCTGTGATGGGGACCACACTGTCCTGGCTGATGAAATAATCTGGGTATTTGAAAAGTTCATGGAAACAAGTCATACAAGGCAATGCTTGGTGTTTGTTAAGCTGAGCATAATTAGCAAACACGTGACAGCTAAGTGAGGGCCTTATCACTTGAGGTGGAAAAGAGCAAACTTAGGACTTGACAGTTAAAAAGCTTCAAAATCTTTAAAAGTCACCCACTCAGTCCTATCCATGTGTCAGGATCCTGTTTTCCAATCAGCACTCTGACCTTGGCTTAATGGACTTGTCTCAATTGGGCAGCTCCCCTAGCCAAGATAATAAATAAAAAACAAAACTGCCTCTCAGAGATGGTGAAGATGATGTTGAGGATCTCAAGGATGCAGACACAGATCCCCACCACATCCTGGTAGAGACTAATCTGGTCCCTGCTGAAACTGGGTGGACGCTGGAGAACAGCAGCAGAGAAATGCCAGGTGAATCAAGTAGCCACTCGGGTGAGAGCTGGCTATATTAGGCCTCCGGAGCATGGTATTCAGGCTTTAATGGGGTCAATGTGTACTTTTCCACCTCAATCAGGACGGATCAAAAACTAGATGCATTTACGATTTCATCTTGGGCTATGTGAGCTGGTTCTGCTCTCCTAGGAAACTTGAGTCTTCTGAACATGCTGCAGTGTCACTGGGATCTATCACCTTGATGGCATCACGCTGACCAGGCAGGGTTAACAAGAGGTGGACAGCATACTGGTGGCATGGGTAACCCAGATTCACCCCAGAAGATGGAAGATAATTCAGGGACTTACTATTTCAGTAAAGGTTTCAGGACTCCAATGGTCAGGGTGTGCCAGGACATACTTTATCCTAGACCTTCTTGCACAGACAGCAGCAGCACCTGGTAGCCTCTTTGGGTTCCAGAAGCAACACATTCTACAGTTAGGAGTACTGCTCCAGGCCCTCTTCTCAGTGGCCCAAAGGCTGCCAGCCTCAAGGGGTCTGGAGCAGGACAGAGCTCTGCAACAGGTTCAAGCTAGGATGACAGCACCTCCACTAACTTGGCTATATGATCTGGTATCGGATTCTGGTGTTGGTGGCATTGGTGGTAGATGCAGTATGGATCATACAGTGAGATCCACTAGCAGGAGAATCACCATACAATTCCCAGGGGTTCTAAACAAAGAACATTCCTGAGGCAGGTGTGGTGGTGCACGTCTGTCATCTTGGCAGGGGACTGCAGTGGGAGGCTGAGGAAGGAGGATGGCTGCAAATTTGAGGCCATGCTGGACTACACAGTGAGTTGAAGGCCAGCCTGAACTACACAGTGAGACCCTGCTTCAAAAAGACCATTCTCCAACTGCAGTGAATTCTTCTATGCCTTTGGAATTCCACTTCTGGCCCTGGTAGGCAGAATGCTTGGCCATGGGACATCAAGTGACCATGCATTCAGAAGTGCCCATGCATTCAGAAGTGCCCATATGTGCTGAGTTCATTTGGACTATTAAGGGCTGAATTGTGCCCTGACCTATGCTGGCCAAATACCTATGCTGAAGTACTAAGCCCAAGGACTATAGGATGTGACCATACTTAGACATAAGATTTTTAGAGCAAGTTACAATGAATTCTTTAGGGTGGGCCCTACTCCAATAGGACATCTGGTGTCCTAAGAGGAAATTTGGCTGTGGATGTGTGTGTGTATAGAGGAAGACCATGTGAGGAAACAGGGAAAGGGCAGCCATCTGCAAATCAGGGAGGCCTCAGAAGAAACCAACTCTGTTGACACTTTGATTTGACCTTAGACTTTAGCCTCCAGAACTGAGAAACTAAATTTGTTGTTGAAGCTATCTACTCTGTGATTTTTTTATGGCGGCTCCTATAACTCAATGTCTCCACTTACTTATAAAGTCAGGTGGATCCAGAGCATTAAATTGTAAGGTGGAAATGGACATTCAGGACACTGAGGCAGAAGGATCGCTGTGAGTTCGAGGCCAGCCTGGGTTACATAGAGTTCAAGACCAGCTTGAACTACATAGCAAGACCCCAACTCAAAACAAAACAGATGGAAATGGAACATGTGGGGTGGAGTCTAGGCAGAATCAGAGGGCAGGAGTAAGCTTCAAGAGCAGGTGGGCCAGACTCCCATGTGAACACCTTAGTTACACCAGTGTTCCCCTCTCAATACCTGTAGTCATACAGAGGGGGTTGTATAACCACTGAAAGGGAGGAAACAGCCCGTCTTAGTTTATGGGTTGGTGGGCTTCTTATGTGGGTGCAAGCAAACAACTGGTTGTGGCTGCATTAAAGCCATGCTGGTGAGGCCTTATCAATAACATGGAAAGGGGAGATCTCTCAAAGGGCAGAACTTTGAACAATGTTACCTGGTCATGCACACTGTCTAGAAGTAATCTGCACGAGAATGTGCATTAAGTTACGGGCAGTGGCAAACAGCCTGGTTATGTACTTTGGGCCTAGGAAGAAAATGGCAACAGGAGCAGGGATAAAGAAGACAGGGTTCGGGGCATGTGGTGGGCACATGGGAGAGTGGGCGAGGGTGGGAGTGTGAAGATCTGTGTAACACATGGAAAAGGCACTGAAGCGCTCAACCCACAAAATGACTTGGTCGGTTCACTTTGGCCCATCTTTATCATCAGCAACCCAGAACTACCACAAGGGACCCTTGAGGGGAAGCCATAAATGCAGAGAAGGGAACTACTCTTGGGACTCTTACATTCAGCTGTCCCGTCCATGGACACAGTGCCTGATAGGCACAATTTAAAAGAAGGCATTTAAAATGCTCATAGTTTCAGACCAAAGCAGAAATATCATGATGAAAGGGGAGAGTGGACTAAAGATACTTAGTTCAAAGTAGCCAGGAAGCAGAAGAGTGGCAGAATAGAAGGGGTGAGGGACTGGACACAAGCCTCAAGGGCACATCTCCACGACCCACCCGGACAAATCCAAGTGAGCTCCACGAATCCCTGGGGTGGATGCCCAAGCCAGTGAAGCTGAAACTCCACCCTAACTGCACAGACCTGCAGTATGAACTGTTGCTTACTATGGCCAATCTACTTCTGCCACCTGTGAGCATTCAGTCTGCTGGCCATAGAGACACATGCTGAACCCTCGGTATGGTACCGTTCAGGAGAAAAAACCAACCAGTTTACTTGGTGGAAAGCTGACTTGATCCTCACAACAGACAGTTTTCCATGTAGAAGGTCATGTTCCCTTGGGCTTGCCTTTCTGCCTAGAGCCTTAGCCTGCATCACTGTCCTCCCAATCTTGCTTCCTCCCTATCCTCAGGGATGACCCCTGCATCTGCCCTCTTCAAGAGAGAACAGGCCCTTATTCTCCTCTTTCTCTCCACATGGGACACTATCTAGAGGAACTGAAGAGGTAGAGTAGAGGACCCGGGCACTGTGGGCTGCGGGAGGCTGCTGTTAAATGTATTTAAAGAGTGTGTTCAGACTTTAAGGAAGGATTGAGAAGCTGCTATACTAAAATCTGTGTTCCTCATAGAGACTCACTTAGTTTCCTTTTGTTTTCTCAGCCCAATATCCTATCAGTTACTTTTTCAAGTCATCTTAATGTTACTAGAGAAAAGATTAAAAATACAGAATCAAGTATTTAAAAAATTTTTTACAGCAAACTAAAAACATAATTATTTTAAAAGCCACATTCTACATTAAATACAATAAAATAATGACAATTTTATTAATAAAATCACTTAACACAGTAAACACATGATAAAAATTCTCCGAGACGGGTTATTTATAGGTCAACAACTGATTTTGAAAGTATAAAAACTTTTCATACTGCTTTTAAAAAGCATTTAATTTTACAAAATTATCCAAAGTTAAAAAGTGCTAGATATGCTTCCACTTTGTTCCATTTTTAAAGCAACTATAGCATAACATCTGACTAAAAAAAGATGAATTAGAGCATAATATTCATCATACATTGCTTACAAATGAAAACTTGAGACTCCCTTGGCCCTGGGAAAGGCTGGGAAGCTGAGTGAGCTGAAAACCAGTCAAGGCTGCCATCCACCCAGAGCCACTGCCTGTCTCTGTTTTCAGAACCAGAAGATTCCTTCCTGCCTCCCCTCTAAAGAGTCTTGCTAGGCTTACTACCCCCTAGTTTTCAGGAGGAGTTTTCTGAAATAATGCTGATATTTAAGTTTTGGGCCAGTATAAATACTCTTCCAAAGACTGAGACATTTCAGATTTAAACTTAATACAAAAAAGTTATGATCTCATTCCAAATGAAAGGAAGGTGCTTCATTTGGTCACTTAATTGCATATTGCCTGTTGAGGTAGGATCATTTTCTCTTTCTCTGAAAATCGCTGATGATACACAAGGGGGTTGTACTAGAAAGGATTCTAATGCCTTTTCCATATTCTTCCAGTTGTGAAAATTCTCTCTGTACCATTCAACTGATAGGAAAAACAAGACAAAAATGAAAAGTGAAAAATTAAACACCAATTAACCAACATTTACTGAATTCCTGCTATTCAAAGAAAGTCCTGCCTATTAGCTTATCAGCAGACAATTTAATTTTTAACTTATGAAGCTAAAAAGTTTGATTTGGAACAACGAAGTTAATCAAAAGATATTTTAACCCCTGAAATCTTAGAATTATAAATTAACCATTTTTTTTCTTTTTAACTTCCTAAGTCCTTCAATACTGAACCTAATGTTGAAGACATTCTGATTTTAGGAAATTCAAAGTAAAGTGGCTTAAGTCATTTACACTGGTTTTAAAAGTTATTTTATAGAAAAAAAGTATTATTTGTTCATGTAAATATGGCAACAGTGTATCAAAGGTATAGTAAGCTGATATAAGCTTCTCTTTATTAATGTGTAAAATTCTTTTATGTTGTTATATTATCAGTAGAAGCTTTTTTAGTTAAATAAAACCTAATAGTTTTAAGTTGTCTTTGATTTTGCTTTTTAATATTCAATCCAAGTATTCTACATTTCAAATTTGGAATCAAGATCTTTTCTCATGAGTACACTTCTAAATACAGCAGAACTTTTAACACATATACACAGACTTTACACATACACACAGATTTTATATTTATTTAGTAGATTTTCCTCCATACACTCAATTTGTTTCTTATTTGTTTCAAACAAAATACTTGCAACACCCAAAGACTCTATTTATATTCATCAAATCAAAGATGCCACTGATCTTAAGATGGATGATTATTTTACATAAAAAAATAAGAAATAAGCTGCAATAAGCTTTCACTAAGAAAGAAAAGAGCTACAACAATAGTAAGACATCAGTGATTTTTAAGACACACACCTTTCAAGGATATGAAGAAAGTGAAAAAAATATGCACCTCAGAATCAATGAACTAGGTATTTGATTAATGCTAATAATATACAGGAAGACAAGCAGTCAATCTATGAAATTTAAGATGCTTAACAAACACAGTATAGTATTGTTGAAAATGTATTATATGTAACAATTTCAAAAATGCAAATGATGCATCACAATTTTCTGCTGAATTTGTGCAGTGTTCTAAAAATGAATTATTTTTCCTTTAAATATAACTAAATTGTTCCCCAAATGATCAATTTATAACATACTTGTTTTCTTTATTCCTTCATTCCAAGGCACTTTAGGTTTCCATCCTAAACCATGAATTTTTTCTGACTTCATTGGATATCTCATGTCATTGGTAGGTCTTGAAAAACAAAATATTTAAAATGACATTGTAGATATATACTTACAAATATAAATTAAGAGATATTATGTATGTTCATACCTCTTTACATAATTCAAGTTTAAAAAAACAAAATTCCTCACAATCACATGCTTACTGTAGAATATTTACAAAGTATATGGGAAAAAACCCCCAAAACCATGATTTTTTTCAATAACCCAAACACATCTCTCTCTGGTTTATGCTTTTTTTAAAATTTATTTCAGCCACTGTTTAGGTATAAGTCTAGTACTGTCACACATAGGGAACCTGATATATGTTTGATAAATAGAGAAATAAATACATGTAACTTAGGACTCAAGTGCCAGGCCCTGGGCCAGATAATTTATATGTTATAATTAAACCTTAACATACTTTTATAAGCAAGATATTAGCATCACCCCTATTTCGCAATGGAGACACCGCATACTTGGAAAGGGTCAATAACTTTCTTTAAGTCATATAGCTAATAATGGTGCTATACTTGAATTGCATAACATTTATAATTAGGAAAAAAATATTTTACCAGACAATTCAAAAGAGATAAACTAGTTTCCAGTCAGGTCTATATAATTTATAATTTTTTAAGTACCTAAGATTTCACAACCTTTCCCCAATGTTTTAACTAGTTACTCACCTATCATTAACATAATCAACCCAATTTTCCATTTTGGACTCTGAATTGGTCTCTTTGATCTGTCAAGATAGAGGTTTTTGAGTCAAATTAAAAAATGAGACTAGAGGAAAACAATAGTATCTAATATCAGTTTTAAAAAGATACAAGAGACAACTATCTCAAAGCAGAGGAAACAACAAAAATACCATCATTTACAATCTACATCTTATTTAAAGCTCAAAAACAATATACACATTATATAAACTATGAGGGAAAATGTGCTCTCCTGACTTTTGGTTACTACTCAGATCCCTTTTCTATTAACCTTAAATTTATAATTGAGATTCCCTAAAACATATGTACACTCATAATTACTTTATTTAGAACTGTTCTTTGATTGTAGGACATACAATTATGTACGTGTGAAATTGAGTTGTCTTACAACTAGAGTATATACCAGTGGCGAACCTATAGCATGTGTGTTGTTTTTCTTTCGAGACTAAAGAAGTTAATGTATGAGTTGTTTTTTCTAAACTAAAACCTCAGCATTCAGGTTTAATTGCAGTGTTGGCACCCTGCGATAAATAAGTGGGTTTGGGTTGCAGTTTGGACACTCATCTCTAAAAGTTTTGGCATCCCTGGTATATATGTTAATGAATTTTTTTCTCCTGAAAAGCTGTTACCAAAGGAGTTATACAACTTCAAATGACACATATGATGCACATAATTATGAATTTCATTTTCCATTTGTTCTCTTTTAAACTAAATAAATGGTAAACTATTGATACTGACTGTCACTTAATTTAGTGACAATTATGTAAATACTACCTTTTACAACAGATACATTACCAGTTGTATTAGTTCTTTGGCAAGCTGGACAACTGACATTTCAAAAGTGGTTCCAATGCTATAAATTTCACCTGGGTTTCCTTTTTTGAGGACAGTGAGAAATGCTTCTACAACATCAGTAGCATAAAGGAAATTTCTTCTTTGAAGCCCTGATCCATGAATGCAGCTAAACAGATTAAATGAAATGGAATCATGAAGTGTACAAAAGCTCTCCCACACCAAAATAAATCAATGACTGGGTACAATTCCAGAGAAGGCAGTTCTCACAGGGAGCCTAGAAATCTTTTATTAAAAACACAGATTCTCACAGCTTAACATTATCTATAGTTCTTAAATGATGTCCAAACCTTCTACTGATACTCAATAAGAGAGTAGCAAACATAAATCCCTGAGAAATATTTACTTATTAACCTTATACCATAAATTCACTTTGAAGAAATATCTGGTCTTATGAATTAAAGTTATCCTTTGAAAAAGTAAAGTTACATAAAGATGAAAGTAAAATTACGTATAAAACAATACTATTACTCAAAGTTCTATGATAGATCCCTGAAGAATTGAAATTATCTTAGTAAATTATAAAGATAAATTATAGATTATAATCACTCAAAAACGATTACATTACATGGAGAAGAGATTTTTAAATTTGGTGAGACATTCAAGTCAATGGCTTCCAACACTAAGACTTCATGATTTTCAAGGAAGACTGTTATCAAACTATCAATATACCAGAAAAGCATAGGGGTTCAAAGGTCAATAATAACATACCATTTCCTGTTGTGTTGCAGTAAAGATATAAATTTTGGAATAACCTAAAAGAAGATTTGAATATCATTTCAAACTTTGGAAATTCGCTCATTAATATGAATCTGAACTCATTAAGATTAAAAATTATTATTAAGAAGTACATAAGGATAAATTCTAATTCTTACCAGGAATTCATGAAAAAAACACTTTAAGGTAGTTTGTTATTTGATAAAAGCCAGTTACTTGAAGATAAAAGGACATAGTGGGAAAATGAAAAGCAATTCCTCATGGACAGTTTGCTGTCATCACAAAGGTCACCTCAGTGTTGGTTTCTTAAGGGCAGGAATCATACTGTACTTATCACTTTATATATAAGTACCCACTCAAAAAGTGCTTGTGGGATTTACTTTGTATAAATTCCACAAGCGCTCTTGGATTCAAAGAAAACATGTTAAACAGGGCAAGTAAGAGATTATATTAAACATGCTAAGGCTATTTCAGAAATGAAGCAATGTGGATATTAACACCACATACTATCTATGTACAACCCTTTCCTTTGGCCAAACAGATGAAAGCAAATAGCTGGTAAGTGAGAAAACCCAGGCTCCAAATTTAGGCAGAGCAGGTAAGTTATTAAAATCCAGCTTAATGATACAGAACCAGTTGCACGGGCATTTTCAGCCAATCAGCTGTATTTCTTTATTCACTATCTGTTATTACTTTGGGGAAGACATTCAGGCCCACAGCAACAAAGCTGAATTAAGGCACAGTTACCAAGCTGACATTAAGACACATTTATGTACAAGCTTCCTGCATCACTGCCTAACTGTTCTCGCGTCAGGTAACTCTCTGTGCCCTGACGTACTGGTCTGTCTGCGCATTGAGTCTAAACTGCAGTGCAGCTGCAGTGGTGAGTACTCTAGTGCCTTAGAGGCCTAGCAGGCTCAAGCATTTTCACATACAGCACCTCACTAGATCCTTCAAAATCCTTTCCAAGTATTTTCATTATCTCCCAATTTAAAGACAAATTCAAAGACTTGTCAGCTGGTGAGCAACAAGTTGAAGCTTCAACGCAAGTCTTTAAACTCTAAGTCTGATGAGATTTGCATGTGGCCTCCACAGAACACATAATTCTATATATATCATATATATATATATGACACATATATAATTACAACATCGATTTCTTTACACAAATAACTGATGAGATTTTTTTTTTAAATGACAAGTTATTTCACTAAAAATAAGCTCTATGAATTCAGAAGTAAAATTTACCTTTTCTGGGTATTGATGTGGCCCATAAACATTGCTGCTTCTTGTGATGACAACTGGAAACTTAAAAGAGTATTCAACATTAAGGTAATGGAAAACTTCAATGATAATGACCATGCTAAGAATATGCAGAGTTTTAAAATAAAAGTACCTTTGCCTAAATAATTCCACACATCTAAGGACAGAGTGAAAAGACTTTCCATGCAAGGTTCCTAAAGACAGGAGAGGACGGGGTTCAGATAAAGGCAGAGGTAAAGGAAGAAAAGGACCGTTTTCTTTACTGAGGAACAGGGACGATGATTACATATGATCTCTACGTCTGACAGCAGAATAATGACCTTTCCGCCTGCTCATTTCAAGACCACCTCTAGGACTCTTAAGTTTGATTAGAAGGGCAACTTCCAACTGAATCTGTTTTATCAACTCCTGTAAAGACCAGCCACACGGGATCGTAAAAGGCAAAGAATCCTGAGGAACTCCTTGGCTTGCCTTTCTGACTTAGTCCCCAATAACTCACAAAGATCAGTGGGAAACTGAATGTCAGGGATTCGAGTCGATTCCTACTGGCTAAGGCTCCTGTAATGCCACCCCGACGGCCACTGGGACCAGTCTACTTCCCAATCATGAGGAGCCGAGAGAGCCCACCATGCAGAGAAGCACATGGCAGGAAAGGGAGGTCCTCCGTCTATCTTCCTCCACTCAGAGCATTCCAACAGGGCTTTTCACTATAGCTACAGCACTCTACCCACTACTGAAACAGGAAAATATATATATATTCCAATATTCCTGTAGTGATAAACTGAATTAGAAAAACTTTTAATTCTTTGTTGTCCACACAATGTAATAAATCAATATTTAAGTTTTCTCAATCTGTCTTTTTCCCAAAAAATGAAATGCTACTAAAGCTGACTTGGAATTTTAGCACTGAAGTCAAAAGTAAAATGTTTCAAGAGTTTCTGAGATCAGTTCATACCTTGTATCGTTCCCAGTAAGATTGTACAAAACATTCAGCAGCTGCTTTAGACGATGCATAAGGATTTGTAGGTTGTTTGGGGGAAGATTCATCAAATTCCTAATTGTAGAAAGATATATTTTAAAAGTATGTACTGCACACATTTTCTAAGTAGAAACCATATTACAAATTGAAATGTCAATCACTGCATTTAAAAAAACCATTAGTGGAACTATGTGTGTGTCTGGCATTCTTCCAACTGCCCTTACTAATTTCTTTACTGCTCACAAAAACCTCATCAGGCAGAGAGAAGAGCAAATACAAGGCCCTTAGATAGAAGGGCAGCCAAAGGCACTGTAGGAAGGCTGGTATGCCGGAAGAGAAATGGGAGATAAGGTTAGAGCGCCAGGCAAAGGCCGGGATACATGGAACAGTGACAACCACTGTGAAAACACTGGCAGGTTTGGAGAAGCGTAAGAGCAGATTTCTATTTTAAAACTCACTTGGGCTGCTGTGTCCGACCAGATATTGAGGGGAAAGGGTACAAGAAGGAAGAAGTTTACCTGATTAAAAACTGAGATGAGTTGAAAGAGGTTGCTTCTTAGAAGCGGGATGGGGGACTGAAATGTAATCAGGGTTTGCTTTTTCTTATTAGAGGTCTTTTTAAGCTATTTTTTTTTCAGTGTGTATGTTTTAGCAAAGTAAAAAAATTATTAAAAATAAAGTGAAACACAATGAGTTCCCTGTAAACACTGACTATGAAAAATATAGCTTTCTGCGCAGGAATGCCACTGAGGAATCACCATCAATGTTCCATTTCCTGCTGCCTTCATTTCTAATCCAGACTCTCAGCAGGAGCCCAAACAACTGTGAAAGGACTTCACTGGAGAGCTGAGCTTTGCAAAATGGGTGGGAGCCGGGGAGCCACTTGGAGCTATGGCTCCAAAATGTGGTCCATTTGGACCACTCACAGCTGTGTGGAAACAAGGAGCCTAAACACCAGCGCTCAGGGGCTCTGAGTTTGTCACTTAGGCCACAGTGGAGGGTGTGGATGCAGCCGCAAGAGCAAGGAGACACAAGGCAGATAGAAGGGCTCGAGAACATAGGAAGCTGTCTTCCTATGAGGGAAGATTCTCCAAGACCAGATGCCCACTTAGGTGTGGAAAGATCTTTGCTGGAAACATTAAAGAGGATACTGAAAAACATCACCTCAGAGATGATTTTGAACATATGGGAAAACTCGTGTGACTGAAATCATGACTGACTGAGGCAGTGGCAAGAAGAGGGGCTTTGCTTTCATAACCTTTGACAACCCGATTCTGGGTGGCGCTGGCACTCAGAGCTACCATCCCATGGAAGGCCACGCTGGGAAGCAAGGGAAGCCCTGTCGAAGCAAGAGATGGCGAGTGCTTCAGCAGGCCACAGAGGTCAAAGTGGTTCTAAAACTGACGGTGGCTGCGGAGGTAGTCTGGGTGGCAGTAACAACTCTGATCAGGGAAGAAACTTCAGCGTTCGTGGTAGCTTTGGTGGCAGTCATGGTGGATATGGTGGCATGGGGACTGGGACACTGGATCTGGTAAAGACAGAAGCAACTGGAGGTGATGAGAGCTACAATTATTTTTATAATTATAACAAGTAATCGTCAAATTTTAGACCTATAAGAGGAGGAACTGGAGGCAGAAGCTGTGGCCCCTATGATGGTAAAGGCCAATACTTTGCCGAACCATGAAACCAAGGTAACTATGGAAGTTCCAGCAGCTACAGTAGCTATGGCACTGACAGGTTTTAACACTGTCAGGAAACAAAGCTGGGGAAGAGTCAGAGAAGTGACAGGGAAGCTACAGGTGACAACGGTGGCCTAAGGGACAAGCTCCGAGCCCTGAGCACTGGTGTTTGGGCTTGTTTCCACACAGCTGAGTGGTCCCCACAACTCTAAATGGCTCCTCAGCTCCCACCCATTGTTGCCATGTTGTGGTGTACAAGGGCAAAAACCTTAAGGACTATATTTGTGACTAACTGTATAATGGGTCACCTTAGTTTCTGTTCTGCAGAAAGTGTAAAGCATTCGGGCACAGGGTTTAAATGTAAATTTTTGGTTTTTGCAACCATGCTGTTGATTGCTAAATTTAACAGCTTGATCAAAAATGATGCTGAGTAACTGCGTTTTTAAAATGTGCTATGTAAAGTTTGTCTACTCTAGAGCTACTGCATAAATGTTCCCCAATAGTGTGAAGTAAGAATTCCTTCAGGATGACGCCAGGTTTCACTTGACATTTAGTTACAGTCTGTTTAGGAGAAGAAGCCACGCTCCAGAAATCTTGGTGTCACTGAACTGACGGTTCCTACTGGGATATTCTGAAGCTCAGCACCGAAACAAAGGGCCAAGCACAATCACAGAATTTAGTTACGAAAATGACTGTTGGTACCTCCTATCCAGTATCTCTAAACTGAGTAACGATGGGAATGAAGCTTGTGTATCATCCATCATCATGTATAATCAATAAATTTACTTCTCTTAATGGCATGACAACTACAGGTTTGGGACTGAAGATTTACACCTGCCCTACCCACTGCTCTGGACAGTGCTGCATGCTTCTATCACAGTACAAGTTCAAAGCTCTACCACAGAACTGAAAGCAGCTGCTGGGAAATGCCACCTGTAAGTCTGCACATTAGAAATGTCTGAGAGAACTTTTAAAAAATAACAAGGGCCGGGGATTTAGCTCAGTGGTTCTGCCGCCTGCCTTGCAAACACAAGGTCCCAAGTTTGATCCCTGGTACCAAAAAAAATGTAAAAATAAATAAAAAATAAAAATAACGAGTAACAGTAAAAATTATAATTAATATAAACATAGGCTTACATTAAGGGAAAACTGTACTCTTAATGCATCATGATTAGGTGGCTCTTTAGAGGTTTAAAGGTCAACCACAGAGGTTATGTGGAGATGAAAACTATAGTCATATGAGCAACCAGATTCTTTTCTTTATAAAGTCACGTTACCTGCACTTTTCTTTTAAATATATGAGATCAGACAACTATCCTCAAGTGTTAACTGTATACAAAATAACCTTTAACTGTTAATAACGACTAACAGTTAATAGCCAATAATTATTAGTTGTACACAGGGTCTTTTGCGCCTTCCCTTTAGTACCCTCTTAATTTCAGTGCTATTGCACTTAGCAGCGTAACTACTTACTAATATAGCTATGGGTTAAAAAGAGAAAAGAAAAATATAGACTGGAGGATGCAGTCATCTTTTTGTGTAAAAAGTAGAGTATTTGGGAATCATTTTTTTAAAGTATAGATTCTAGTTTCTATAATAATTTCACACTTACTCCTTCACAATTTGAAAAAATGGAACATGATTTCCCGGCTGGGAGAGAAAGGTGAGCAAAACTATGCTGCAGCCTAGTGTGCCTATGCTTTGGTCTGTGAGAATGACATTCATTTTTGTCTTGCAGAACAGCCAAATTGGGGGGCCGGAGATTTAGCTCAGTGGTGCCGGCACCTGCCTCACAAGTGTAAGGTCCCGAGTTCGATTCCCGGTACCAAAAAAAAAAAAAAAGAACAGCCAGATTATGAATACATCTCTACCAAGACTAGGCTGTTCCCCACTTGGGGTAGCATCATTTGCTTTGAACAGAAGAAACAGTGAAATAACATTCTGGAGGGAGCCACAAGTATGTATAGTTAGAGTACAAGAAAAGCCCAGCATAGGTTTAATGAGACAGATTTGGATCCTGGTATATAATAAATGGATGGAATACAAATTTTCTAAGCTTACCTTATCAAGACTGCCCCCATAGACTTCTTCTGTGCTAACGTAAATAAACTTCTCCACTCTGGCTTCATGAGCAGCACTTACCAAAACATGAGTGCCATAAACGTTAACATATGTAAACTCAAATGCACGGACAAATGAAAGATCTAGGAAGAGAGAAAAAAGCTAAAACAATTCCACCCAAGAGACAAAGCAAATGTGGAACAATGGACTCAGTTTCTAAAATATTACTATTTACATTCACAATTGCAATGCTATGAGAAATAACACACAGGCATTGATACTGAGGATTTCTATAAACCTACATCACATAGCATTGGTAAGGTTCTTAGAACCCCCAGAAAACTGTCGGTGCTAAATTTGTCTTATAAAAAGAAGAAAATACAAAATGCTACCTGTAAATCTTTTCATATTAAAAAAAAAATGTAAGCTTCCAATTTCTGGTATTTTAGGGTTATATTTTTCAAATCTATTTCTTATGATAAGACAATAAAAGTCAGGTAAATAACTTCAGAATAAATTCACTGTGAAAGAACTGAGCCTTTCCAGTCGGAGATTGAGGGGGCTTTCCTGACTCATAATCGAGAATATGGCAGTAAGGGAAGACACTGATAAAACATAAAAATTTTTGCATGGTTTAAAAAAACTGAGAACAAAATCACCCTACATACATGAATACTACTATACAAAACAATAATGCTGACTATCAAAATTACAGAATACTCACTAACACAAAATATTCTGAATAGTCAAACTACAAAACTGCCTATGCAAAATGACTACACAAAAAGAATGATATCTAACGCAATTGAAGAATAAAATAAAACAAGATGAAATTCTTGAAAAAAAACATGGGAATAAATAAATAAATGGAGCTGAAGTGGATTACTTGGGAGGAGGGCAACGGATCTGATAGATTTTATTTTGATAAGCTAATTGTCCGTGTATAATTCCCTAGGTGATCATTTAAAGAATACAAACAGAATATATATCTTCCAAACCAGCAGAAGGAAAAAAGAAGTTTCTCAGTTAAGTCCTTAGAAAAACCATGTAAGAAGACAAATAGCAAGAGTGATCAGAACAGATTAAAAAAAACCTCCAAATACATGTTGTTTATAAGAAATGCATAAAACTGGAGAAAGGGTGGAAATTAAAATATGGAGCCAGACATGTAATTAACGTGAAGGTGACACAGCCATGTTAATGTCAAACACCACAGACTTCAAGGTAGTATACATCACGAAGGCAGATAGATCACTTCATAAAAATAAAAGACTAAACTCGCCGGAAATACACTGGAGATAACTACTTCTCATTTTTCTCATTGAAACATGTCTTTCAATGAGAAAAGTAAACAATCCAATTAAAAAACAGACAAAGATTTCAACAGCATTTCACAAAAGAAATCCAAGTTACCAAAAAAATATATAAAAGGGGCTCAATCTTATTAGTGATCAGGGAAAATAGAAATTAAATATATAAAGGAGAGACTACTGTTTTAACTACAGTTTTGAGCTTGGCAAAAATAGAAAAATCTGACAAAATGAAGCTTTGGCAAAATCTGGAGCAACAGGAAGCCACACATTCCTTGAGGAGTGGAAAATAAGTATACTTTAGAAAATGGTTTGCCATCTTAATGTTGAAGTATGCGAATCTATATATCAGAAAGTAATGCATGCTCATGTGTTACCATGATACATGCATAAGAATGTTTGTGATAGTATTGTTTAGAATTGTCCAAAAATATAAATAACCCAAATGTCCATAAAGGGTAAAATATATAAGTAAACTGTGGGATATTCTTAAATTGGAATATTGTACAGTACTGAAAAGGAACAAACTATATGTCCACCCAACTACATGAATGACACTGTGGATTTTGAAAAAGTCCAAGAAATTTACATGTACTTTTATGTATTTTTTTTAATTTTTAAAATAACTTTATTATCAAACACACACATACACAAAAAATTAAAACCATTCAAAGAAGAACAATCCAAGGGGAAAAAAACTACAATAATATTCAAATACAGTAGAACTCAATCAAAACAAAACTAAAGAGCACTTAAAACATTTTTCCATATAACTTAAAACAGCATCTCAAGCACCAACAAGACACCAGAGGATGTAATTTGTTTCAGAAAGATCCCCAAAACCAACACTGAACAAATAATGATCTGGAAAAAAACTCCAGTCAGCAGACGCCACAAAAGCCAAACTTCTCCCTAATTTACATTTCGATACAGTCATATCACACGTAATGGAAACACAATCCGAGAAATACGTTATTAGGCCATTTCATCCGTGTGTATCCTTAATTACACTTTCAGTTTCTCACACTAGAGAAACTATTCGGTATTTACACATCTGTGTCCTATTTATTTCATTTAAGAGGATGGCCTCAATATGCATCCATTTAGCTATAAATGTCTCTAGTTTCTTGTTCTTTATGGCTGAGTAGTACTCCATTTTATAAAAAAAAACCCACATCTTCTTTATCCAGTTTCCAGTTGATGGGCACTTGGGCTGTTTCCAAGCTTTAGCTATTACAAACTGTGCCCCTATAAACATGGGTGCACATATATTGCTGTGCTGTGATTCTTTTAATTCTTTTGGGAAGATCCCCAGCAGGGGGATAGCTAGGTCAAATGGGACCTCTAGCCCTAGTTCTTTGAGGTATCTCCATACTGATTTCCACAGTGGTTGCACCAGTCTGCACTCCCACCAACAATGAGAAGGGTTCCTTTCTCCCCACACCCCTGCCAGCATTTGTTATTGGTTGATTTCTTGATAGCAGCCATTCTTTTGGGGTGAGGTGGAATCTCAGTGTTGTTTTCATCTACATCTCTTGAATGACCACTGATGTTGAACATTTTTCATATGTTTATTTGCTGCTTTTACTTCTTTGTCTGAGAAATGTCTGTTCATTTCAGATGCCCATTTTTGAATTGGGTCTTTGAATTTGGGGGGTTTGATTTTTTTCCGTTCTTTATATATTCTAGATAGGGGACCTTTGTCTAAGGTACAGTTGAAACTTTTTTCCCACATTGTAGGTTGTCTCTTAGCTCTGTTGGTGGTTTCTCTTGCAGTGTAGAAGCTTTTTTTTTTTTTTTAGAAGCTTTTTAATAAGATGAGATGCCAGTTGTTGATTCTTTGTGCAAGTTCCCGTGCCACTGAGGTTTTGTTCATAAAGTCTTTTCCTATACCAATATCTTCAATAGTTCTACCTAACTTATCTTCCAGCATATTTAGTGTTTCTGTCCTAATATTTACTTTTATGTATTTTTATAAAATTTTAAAATTGCCAAAACTAACCTATAATGTTAAGGGTAAATATATAGATGGCAAAACTAGAGAGAAAAGTAAAGGAAATTATAATTTTAAATCAGGCAGAAGACAGTGGCAATACTACTACTAAAGAGCATTAAGCAACATTCTGTCTTTTGTGTGGGTCACAGCTACATGGGTGCTCACATTACCATTTTTTCTTTAACTGTGTACTTCCAAATTCTTCTGAACATATGCTTTATTTCACAGTAGAAATGTTAGACTAATTATGAGCAAATACTTTAAATAAACAGAATGGTACAGATAATAATATAATGTTCACTGCGCACCTACCACACAATGTAAGAAAAACAATATAAAAACCACAGCTGAAGACCTATCTCCTTATTCCTCCCCCACGGAAGTAATAATTATTGATTTTGGGTCAGTTCAAAGTTTTAAGATAGATTCAAGGTTATATAACAACCCACACTAATAACAGGCTATATCATACCAAGTATATCAATGACATAGTGACCACAGGTTTGTTTCTCTGGTGTCGCGTGTATATCTTCTTTCAAAGATGGATGTTAAATATCTGCTTATTCAACCCCATCGCTGGGCTTTATCACTAGGGAAAAAAAAATGCCAGTCACAACTGTAAAATAAAACAGTGCTTACCTACATGTGTTTGTGCAGCAAAATGTAGTACTATATCCATCTTCTCTGTTTCAAAAGCAGTTTCACAAAATGAGAATCACATATATCACCCTATATGAAAAGGCAAACATGAAAAGCTAGGTTTTCTTTTAGCACTCTCATTCACAATAACCATTTTTATTATAACACCCTCTCATCTCCCACCCCCCAGTTCAACAGAGAATATCTTGAAAATTCAAGTGGTTAGGCAAGTACTGTAATGATGTTATTTCTTCAGTATCACAGAATGTATTTTCAACTCAAAATATTTTTGCAAATAATATTGAGCAACAACTAAATACCGTGCTAGTTTGCTTTATCACATTCTCTACAACCTAAGATCAGTATCACCTATCAAAAACTTCAATAAGTTTTCTAGCATTAAAAATATACCTTTTAGGGGCCGGGGATTTAGCTCAGTGGTTCTGCCGTTTGCCTCACAAGCGCAAGGATCTGAGTTCGATCCCCAGGACAAAAGAAAAAAAAAGAAAGACCTCTTTATTTGGGCCGGGGATTTAGCTCAGTGGTTCCAGCACCTGCCTTGCAAGCTCAAGGTCCCGAGTTCAATCCCCGCTACAAAAAAAAAATATATATATATATACATATACATATGTATTTATATGTATATATATATACACACACACACACACACACACACACACACACCTTTGAGAGAACTGTTACTAAAATATACTTAAAGTAAGTGTAATTAGAACGACATTGGAAAACACTTTACCACAACTAATTAAGTGAATCTCTGGTAAGTGAAGAAAACACTTTCACAAAAAAAGAATTATGAAATGTTTTTAGTACATGTTTAAAGTTTTTATTAAAAAAGTTTATAGAATCACATTTTAGGAAATCAACATAAATCATGACATGGTTTTATTTGACAGTAACATTTCCCTTTGTAAACTAATGAACTGGCCCTGTGGTTTATACTTCAGAGCTGTCTGAGAGTGGTTAGTAATCAGCCTTCCAGAGGCAATCTGACTTCACAGAAGACCATGCTATGAGCTTCATGGTCTGGCTAGCCTTCCAGGTAACAACACATTTCATACTTTTCCCTTCAAATCCCAGAAAGGCCTTATTAATGGCTAATGAGGATTTAAAGTTACAAACCATGAAAATTCAATCAGCTACTCACAGAATCTTCAAGGTACCAAAAATCACATGCAACTTTTATGTAGTGTCAAAGTACTATTATCTAGAGCACATGGTACTTCTGGAAGTACTCGATCTTTTAAAAAGTCTTCAGTAAGTGTGCCTTCCAAGCCCCATCACGTGTTTATAAAATAGAAAGATTATAATGTCTGCATAACTAAAGAGATGCAATATAGAGCCTGAAATTCCATTATTCTGGAGGCTGAGGCAGAAGAATTCCAAGTTTGAGACCAGCCTGGTTTATGGGCTACACAAAGAGTTCAAAGCCAGCCTGGACTACACAGTGAAACCTTGTCTTGGGGGGTGGGGGTATTTTAAAATAACAGAAAGAGACAGTACAATAATTGTAAAACTTCAGTACCTGTATAAACTTGTAGTTTCGTTTGTTAGAAATGGATTCAAGATTCTTCAAGCTTGCACAGTAATCCAACTTAAAATGAGACAGCATAGTGGGAGGAAACATAAAAAGTGGTATTAGCTTTTTCTACACAATAACAACTTAAGGACTATAGAAGTTAATTACTGTAATACAAGGACATGTCCTCTTAAAAGTGTGTTTGCTCTGTGTTTTTACACATTTTAAGCTTCTGACATCTTAAAAGTAGAGAATGAGTACTTTTGTTAACTTCTCAAAATACAAAAAACAAAATAAAAACTCAAAACCAAAACTTTTTATAAATCTCTAAATCATACTTCTGCCCAAATTTGCCTGCAGATACGGGTGGCTAGAAAAATGTATCATTCCTTACAGAAAAGGAACTACTGATTAAAAATATAATTGCTTAACAAAAATTATAATTCATTACACTAAGTCCTGAGTTAACTGTTGGTAAATTAGTGTACAGATGGGCAAAAAAGTAATAATAATAATCAATCCTGTTGTTCATAATAGTAAGATAAAGCAAAAATTCCTAAGAGTGAGAAGTTATTTTTGCCTCTATATTTTTGCCATTATGCTTTAAAAAATTAAGGTGTCTATTTGCATCTTTTCATTACATTAAAAAATCCAGTGATCACCAACCGTGGCTCTCAGATTCTTCAGGAAGATTTGAATTACCGCAATAAGCTAAAAACTAAATTGGCTTTCTAATTTAGAAAATACGTAATTTTCTGGAGGTGGCAGTTATGAAATCAAATCCTTAAATAATGAACACAAATAAAGCAGTTTGATACCAAGAAAGATTTATAATTATATTATGCTAAATGTTGAATTTAGAAAATACGATATTTTGGGGTAAAAATATTGTACTCAACACTTAACTTTATGAACTAGCACTGTAAAAGTTTTAAAAGATTTTATGTAAGATTAAAAGCAGCATGAGCACATGACTGTACAGATCCCTAAACTGTTACAATAACTAAATAAAACGCTAAAATATCAGCATAATACGATTCTAGTACTTTAAAAAAGAATAGACTGAAATACAATTCGATTGCATGAAGATTACATTTTTTAAAAACTCACCTTGTCTAGATTTATGATCATATAGTTTGGATAATCTACTAAAGAGACAATCACATGTGACGCACTGTAAGCAAAAAGAGTTATCCTGTGAATGGAAAATGTTAATGTTCTTAAATTTCTGAATTTTTTTCAAAACTGTTTTTTAGGAAAATATTCAAACATAACTTTAAGTTTTTCAAAGACAACAGAAAATATAACTACACTAAATTTACACACATGCATATTTTCACTAAACTTTTCAACAGTATCTATAAACTAACTCTTATACTCTTTTTACACAAACAAAATTTACTGGCCTTGGGGATAAAGAAAAAAAGTAGTTTAACCAAAAGATGCTGTCCATGCATGTTTGGAGTGTGACAGTAAAGCAGGATGAAAAATATAACAGGTGTTAGAGCAACCATGCTGACACTGTAACACGCCTTTTCAGGAACAGCAGATATCAGTATGAAAACATTCAATTAGTGTAAGTATAATCAGGTACAATGTTCATAGAATTTTCCACAATTGCTGTGTTTTAGTATATGAATTCGGTAGTGTGTATCAGAATCTTACAGGAATCCTGAACTGATTCCAGTTTTCCAAGGCTAATAATAGCTGAAACCATCCAGAGTTGGGGATTCACAGTGGCTTCTGGGCTTCAGAAGACCTTGAAGTGGAACCAGAGGCAAATCTCAGAGAGATGATCCCCCGAACCACAAAAACAAAGAATGTTGGGTGCCCAGGAGTCAGTTTGTTCTTGTCAGCCCTTTCACAGTACTTTCTAGGACAGCCCCCCACTGGACCAGTACTCTCGCACTAGTCCTAACCCTTCCTGTCCATACTCCTTTTCTTATGAAACTTGCCTGCCTGATACCTGCAGCCAAGTGACTGTCAGATTAGAAGACGATTTAATGTGCTAAACAGCAATAAACAAGAACTGCCACATTCTCTCTTCTTTTACTAGACACTGAGTTCCTCACAGGCAGTAGTCTCCCCTTTATTACTCCTGCATTCATCCAGGTGCTTAGTGAACTCGCTGCCCTCATGGAGTTTACATTCTAGAATGGGGACAGAGGCAGCCATTAATAAGCAAAAATAGGCAATATAATATCAGGTAGGGGTAAGTGTGTTAGTTGGGAGAGGGGCTATTTTAGATAGGGTGCATCAAGTAAGAACGTTCTAAGGATGTTACCTGATTTAAGTATGTGGAGCACATCGCTAAGTGAAGGAAGAACAAGCGGAAAGACCTCAAGGTGGGGGGGGGGGGCACGGGATTTAGCTCAGTGGTTCCACCGCCTACCTCGAAAGCACAAGGTCCCGAGTTTGATCCCTGGTACCAAAAAAAAAAAAAAAAAAAAAGAGGAGGGGGCACTAGCCTGTTGTTTTCTAAAACACATGAGTAAGCCCGGCAGGTAAAGAAGAGCAAAAGATCAGGTTGAAAAAGTATGGACACTTGAGTTTCCTAGATATGGGAAAACTTTGGACTTTATTCTGATAGAAACCACTAGAATAAAATTCTATGCACTGACATGATCTGATTTACAAAAAAAAAAAAAAAAAAAAAAGCACTGTCATGTTTGTGAGAAACAGACTTTAAGGCAACAAGTGTGGAAGCAGAAAGACCAATCAGGAGGCTACAGCAGTGTCTAGGCACAAGTAGGCGGCGACGTGGCTTGGGTGGAAACTGGCGCAAAGTGGTCGCAATAAGGATTTAATGTGGAGCAGAATGGACTTGCTGATGGAAGGAGGGTATGAGACAGAGGCGATAAACATCTAGTATAGGGTGGCAACGACGGGATTTTTAAGTTTGCTGAGCAAATCAATCTTATCATAACCCCAAACCGTTTTGGGGGCGCCTGTGTATCACGACGGTGGGGAGTGGTGTTCGGCTGGCAGGAAGTTGGCGAAAACTCACTGTAAAGTGTGCTCACCCCCGTGAGTGATAAGGGGTGAGTATCGGGGGCAGTTAGGAGGTCGGGGGACAGTACCACAGGACTCTTGCTTGGGTAGCAGGCGTTTTAAAGATGAGGTACTTTCAAAGGAACCGCGTCCTAGCAGGTCAGGGAGAGAGGAAAAAGGGCCCGCGCGGTTCATTAGGGCCCGCCCTTAGGAGACCCCTGCGAAGCTGGACCCACACTGCAGGGCAACCAGAAGTTTGGGGCTTCTGGGCCGGAACTGCTCGGCCGGCTGCGCCGTTACCTACATGAAACCAGCACCCCCGGTCACCAGGACCCGCTTCGCAAAGCTGCCGGCAAAACCCAGGGGTTCCGCTAGTCCAGCCGCCGACATCTCCCAGCTCTGCAGCGTCTATGAGCACCGTAAAGCGCCGTGTCGGAAGACCAGAGCCAAGTACCACGGCGACATTTTTTGCGACACGCCTCGCTCCCTCCCTCGACGTGTTACGGCGCAGTCACTGGCGGATTCCGGAGTGGGCGCCGAGGTTGCTTTCTCCCCGCCCACTGATGTGCGGGGCGCGGCCGCGCAGTGCCACTGCGCAGGCGCAGGTCCTCTTGGCCATTGCCGGGTTTGGGCAAGAATCGATGAGGTTACCGGGTTAGTGGAGTCAGAAATATTTTCTAGGCATGTGTCACCAGCCTGGATTAGGCTTCACTTAGATACCCTGAAGTTCAGAGTTGAATGAGTGCTTTCTTTTCATTCCTGTACGTAAGCCTTTTCCAGAGATTATACACCAGTTCAGCTAAGAGCTGTGGGGTGTTGTGTTCTTGCACTGTGGAAATGCGAGTTGCAATAGAAAAGTTACCTTTTATTGTTAATATTATTACAGGCAGCGCAGCCTGAATGCAGTCATGATAAAGATCTTCCTTAGATCCTACCCTTAGGTCTTTTTGAGGGCAAAGTGATAACGTGAAAAATTCAAATATAAATACTCTGTGACGCTTAAATTCCACGATATCTTAACTAGATAATTGTATTATTTAATAAGAAAAAGTTAGATGTAATCTAAGTGTGCATGAGATTGTCTGACTTTTAAAATACAGATTTATATAGTCTTTAGAAAGAATGCACTGTCATGGAATGAGGACCACAGTCTTTGGAATGGGTACTTACAGCTTTTTAAAAACCTGAATCGCCTACCCTTTGTTATCCATCAAGTTGGTTCATGCCAGGCTGGCTACAGGATGGACATTTGGCTTCCTCTAGGCCAATTGAAGCTTTTTCTTGTTATTTCAAATTATACTAAGGCTCTAGCACAATCCACTTGCTCTTCTTAATCTCTGAGGACCTACTCGTTTAGTACTTGTTAGTGGCCATGTCCTTTCAAATGAACTGAGGAACCCAAAAGCCCATCTTCAGTGATAGAGGAAAAACAGAGCTGATCAAGAGAAGAAAGACAAGAGACAAAAGAGACGGCTTCACAGCATTCAACGCCTATCCATGATTTGCGTTTCCTTCAGGACAAATCTTATCCCTGTCCGTGGCTTACAAAAAAACACTATTAATGGGGGGAAAAACTTTAGACAAATTAAATTTATTAGAGTTTATTTGAGCAAAGAAGAATTTATAAATTGGGCAGAATTCAAAACAGAAAGGATCAGAGAGCCTAAGCCAGCAACATGTGCAGACAGAATTTATAGGGGAAAAAAATGGAAGTGATATTTAGAAATAGGTTGATTGGATACTGCGCCAAGTTTGCCTTATGTAGACCTCATCTGACCATGCATCTTACACATATGGACAGAGGTTGATTTAGAGTGGCAGCCTGTGATTGGCTGAAATTAATGTATTGTGATTGGCTGAGACTGTTGCTTGCTGAAAGAATTTACTCCTAGTTAGCCTGCAAATTGTTTATACACTAAATTTGGTTGCAGTACTCTATGTAGGAATTCAAAATACTGGCAGGAGCCTGAGACCAAATTTACTTGAACACTGCATATGTTTCTAAAGGTTTGTCTGAAAGGATCCACCTTAAACTATTAACAAGGGTTACCTTTGGGTATTGGGTAAGGGCAAGTGAAGGACGAAATAGGGACTTTTTTTTACTTTATATACTTTTAATCGAATTTTTCTCTAAGTTGCATTAATTAATTTTGTAATAAAAAAGAACTAATGTAATTTTTTGTTGTTTTTTGAGACAGGGTCTTGCTATGTATTGAGACAGGGTGTTGCTATGTATGTGTCACCCAGGCTGGCCTCAGACTCATGGCAATCCTCCTGCCTCAGCCTCCCAAGTAATCCTGTAATCCTGGGATTACAGGTGTGTGCCATGCCCAGTTTAGTGCAATGTTTTTTTAAGTCCCCAAATACTAACACCTCCAGTTTAATCCTGGTCAAAGATACTGAAAATGCTAAATAGAATAAGAGGTATTCTGATTTCTTTTTCTAAGTGCTGAGGTATGTCGTGAGAACTTGCTTATATATCATAAAAGCTTGTTGAATGAAAATAATTATGTATATTAATTCAGGAAATAATTTTGAGTCCTGCTTTTGTTTACACAAACATCCTCTCTGACCAGCCAGACCTTAAAATGCAATAAGGATTCAGATGAATCAAATCATGTACAGAATAGTGTGCTAAGGGTCCTGATAGGGAAGTAAAGGATTCTGGTTCCAGGGGCAATTATCACGGACTTGAGAGTTTGAGAAAGGCTTCTCAAAGGGGGTTGGTAAAAGGGGGATACAGTAGGAAAAAGAGGCTGTAGATGTTGAGTAGTAGGACAAGCAGAAATATTCCAGCCAGAGGATTTGCAAATGGTACAGACCTAGAGATGAGACTTGGTGTATTTATGGAACTGGTAAGGATGGAGATTAGAAGTTGAAAGATGAGGGCCGAGGATTTAGCTCAGTGGTTTCGCCGCCTGCTGCGCAAGCGCAAGGACCGGAATTCGATCCCCGGTACCAAAAAAAAAAAAAAGTTGAAAGATGGAAATGTGAAAGGTGTGAGAGCTACAATGGGAAGAGTTTGGGTTGTGCACCGAAGGCAGTGGAGGGTCTTTGAAGGAAAGTGATGTAATCAAATTGTTACCTAAAGCTTTTTGTGGCTCTAAGATAGAGATAGATGCCGCCAGTTAGAAGTCAGACTGGAAGGAGGTCAGTTGCCATGGGCCAACTAAGTGATGCCCTGAATATGCTATGCTTGTTGCTGCTGCTTCCTACAATCACCAGAAGAGGAGCCAATAAGCATTCGTTGTGAGGGCTTAATAAGGATGGACCCTACGATTCCTGGCTGTCAGGCCTGCTGAGTGAAGATCTAATTCCAGGAGACAGGGAAACTAGGATAGAGAAATCGGTTGGGGCCAAGAAAAGTCATGCTTTAAACTCTAGACAGGCTAAGTGTCTTTGAGATCTTAAAGTGGACGAGTCCAGTAGATTATATAGGCGTGGAGGGAGAAAAAGATAAGAACATGGTTCCAACTTTGAAGGACTTTTCGTCTCGGGAAACTATCACAGGTTTCTCAGTTTTTCCTGAAGTCCACAATCAGCTCAAAGACCCACCAACCCAAGCCAGCGCGTCTGCGCATGCGTAGTAGTATGCCACGCCAGAAGCAGGAGGTTGATATATTTCCGCAACCTGAGGCAACGTCCTCTCGATTCCCATAGGAAAAAAGGCGGGAACTAACCAAAAGGCAAAGGAGTGATGGGACAAGCGGATCTGCGCGTCCCGCCCACCTCGGCCTCTTATTGGTAGATATCCTTGGCTCGTGGAAGAAGGGTTCTCCTCATTGGCTGTCAGGGTCCCGGCGGTTCTGGCCCCACCCCCTCCCCGGCTGCCGACGTGGGGCTGATAGACTCTGGCTGTTAGGGTTCGGGGTTCGGGTGCGGAGCGGGAGGCGGGGCATGGGGGCGCTGTGGCTCCTGGCGGTGGCCCTCGCGTGCTGCTGGTGGCCGCGGGGCAGCCTGGGCAAGACCCTGCGGGGCAGCTTCAGCAGCGCCGCTGCCCGAGACGCCCCGGGCCAGAGCATCGGCCACTTCGAGTTCCATGGTAGGTCAGGGCGGGGAGCGGCGGGGAGGCGCCCCCTCAGGTCCCTGTGCCCGCCTCCTCCGCTGGGTCGGGCCGGCGGCGCCCAGCCCCTCCCTGCCGCGCGGGCGGCGGGCGCCTTCCGGGCCTCACCTGGCCTGCCCCCTCCGCGGCCGCCCCTGCATGACCTGAGCACCTGAAAGCCAGTTCCTGTTCCCCAGCCCTCTCCGAGCAAGCGAGTACCCGAGGCGCGGGTCTGTTGCAGCTTTCGCGATCTTTCCCCCCAAAAAAGCCCCGTTGCCCACTCCTGACTCCACGAGATTGGAAACATTCAAGCGCTGTGGATGGCGTGCAGGTGGAAGTCCAGGAACTTAGATTTGCTCTTCCATTTTTACTCTCATTTGATAAAACCTACTTGGAGCAGTGGTTGTGATCCAATTGCCATTATTGGCAGAATAGTGGGTTTCTTGGGTTCTAGCGGGCAGATTTACTCTGGAATGTGACACCTAAATTAAATCGGTAGAAATGCGTGTAAGTGCAGTCTTCTGGAAATACGTAGTTGGTATTCTCTTTGGCCCGACCGAAATCAGAGCTGCATCTGAGTTGTACCTTCTTGCTCTCCCTGAAAGAATTTGCAGTTCATTTTAATTTTTGCCTCATTTATTTCAGTGTTTTTCTTGATACTCTTAATTTGACTAGTACTGTATTTCAAATAATTGTTTTCTATGATGAAGTTAGGATCTTTGGATTATATGGTCTTTAGTTTAGTTGCATTAAAATAAGGTGCAGCTGTGAAGGTCAGAATATCCTAGAAAAGATTCTTAAAAGATCATAGGAATGAGAAACTGTTTTGGTGTGGGAAAGGAACTTAAAGTATTGGGAAATTACAGAATTGATAGTATAAAGGGAGGGAAACTGATTTTAAAAAACAAGTTTTAAAGACAGCTAAGAAAAGAAATGAAACCTAGTTTTCCAAAATCCAGCGTGGATTGGTTGAATGAAGGAACCCTTGAAATAGTTTTATTATTTTTGTCCCAATTTCAGTTTCTTAATCAACTCACTGTAACTTTGACAATGATGGTATTGTCACTATAATAAATGGCACAGTCTGAATAGTACTGGGAAATCTAGGATGTGTGGAAGTTATGACATGGATTATTCCTCATGATCAGTAAAGAGGCTTAGACAACTCTGATGGTTCATGATGATTACCTGGGAAACAGAGGAGAAACAGGTACTAAATCCAGATTTCTCAAGGCAAGACTTCGGATAGGGTGTTCCAAGTATATTTTCTCTCTCTCATATCTACAGAGTCTGCCAAAAAATGTATACCTTAGGAAAAGAAAAACTTGTATAAATGTTTTAATACTAAATTTATTGGGTTATCATGAGATTAATACAAGTCATCTTTGGCCTCTACAATTATAAGAGGAGCTCAAAGTGGTGGCCATTAGCTTCCAGACATTTATTAGAACAGTGAACTGCTGAAGTGTGTATATTTTTGGTGGACTCTATATAAGATACATAATTACATTTCCATATATGCTGAATTATTACCAATTTTAGTGAATTCCAGTTCAGTACAATAATAATAGTGAAACTATACAGAATTAATGAACTGTAACTCTGAATGCAATATAAAGTATTAAATAGGACCACAGGGTCACTTTTCAGACTGTTGATAATATATAATGTAACCAATGATAACTCTTGTAACTAAAATTTAAAGAACTGAGAATATACGAGCTAAAATGAAGAACATGTTCTTGTTTCACCTCTCCTCACCCAGAGTCCCTTTCCCTAGAAGCAACTACTTTTTGCCATTTCTCTTCTGAATCTTAACTGTAGTTGATTTGTACAACCAAGCTCATTCTGTATTAACCAGTTACCAGTCCAGTTATTTAAGTACAGGATGACCAAAAATTGCATATTTTTCATTGATTTTTATAAGATAATATAACAGGAAATATGAACAAGATAATTTTATCAAGTTTATTCAATACAAGAATCAACTAAGGTTGAAATGACACCTGCCCAGTTCCGGATGTTAGTACATAAGCAGACGCACTGCCTGCCTAACACTCGGGGTACACTATTCAGTGGTTAATCACCTAACATATATTGGTCTGAAAGTTCTTTTGTAAAGCTTACAGAAGCAAATTTTGTTTCAGGTGTAAAATGTGTATCCCCCCAAAACTTTTAATCTTTCTTGCTATTAGGTATACTATACGTCTTCACATTAAAAGCATAATTAAATATTAATAGTCATGTTTTTAAAAACAAACTGTCAGGAAATTTCTACAGTTAATAAAAAAATGTAAAAGATGGTTTTACATTACATTTCCATTTCCATTACAATGGAGTGGTTGTAAAATGAGACAAAAGTTCTATTACAGTAAATGTCCAAATATCCCAGATGTTTCTATTATTTAGTGGAATGTTAGCAGTTGACAGCTGAATTATAAGGATGTATCATGTTAATTTGAATAATGTCTTCCATCTGAATGCAATATTCATTCTATTGTGATTGACCTAGTTAAGTGAGACTTAAGAAAATTGTGTTTTTTAAATACCCATTTGGATCAGTAGGTGTTGAATTGTCCTCCCTTCTTAGTGCCATATAAACCCAAACTAGTTGATAATTTTTGTTTTAATCTCAAGGTGACCATGCTCTTCTGTGTGTCAGAATCAACAACATAGCAGTCGCTATTGGAAAAGAAGCTAAACTCTACCTGTTCCAAGCCCAGGAGTGGCTAAACCTGCAGGAAAACAATCATGCTTATAGTTGTAGTGAAAAATTATCCAGAGCTCAGCTGACAAGTGAGTATATTCCTTTTCTCTCTCTTGTTTTTTTTTTTTTTTTTTGGTACCGGGGATCGAACTTGGGACCTTTCGTTTGTGAGGCAGGCAGTGGAACCACTGAGCTAAATCCCCGGCCCTCTTTTTCTCTTTTTTGACCATTACATCTGATTGTTTTCACCTTAATGTTGAAGTATAGTACAGTACCTGTGTACCTACCAGAATAGTTCAGGATGGCATATATCACATTTTGCAGTACATTTTGATCACATTTTGCCAAGTACATTTTAAGCTGAATTTTAAGGAAACTAACTTGTTACTTGTTCAAAAGATAGAATGCCTTTTTCCTCCTTTTTCAATAAGATTTTTGAAAAATATCCAGGTTATAAGGGTATCCTTTCCCTCATTCAGACTCTACAGTTTGCATAGTTCATGCTATCATAACACATATATTTCTACCTACTGGCCCCACAGAATAACATTTGTTCATTGTATGTTATCTACCAGCACTGAGCTAAACATTGAACATGTATTGCCTCAGTTAACTGCATAACTTAGTCCAGTACTGTTTTATAACATATCTTTGGAACTTGACACTTGGTTGTTTGGTAACAAAATATGTCACCACATCATTTGTAAACCTCTAGGTTTGCCTCTGGAGAGGCTCTGCTTTATCCTTATCTAGTGGCTTGAATCTTCACTCATCCATCCTCATCAACACTATTCTATGCATTAGGGTGGTTATGGCAAACCTTTCAGACCTTTCAATGATATAAACAGCCCCCTGCGGCATGCCTGCCATAGGTTCACCACCACTGCATTAGGGTGTTAGCTGTTTGGAGTAAAAGCTGTGTAAAACTTTTATAATTTAGAAATGGCATAATGGCATACATGTGTTATTCTAGCCATATTACCTCTTGTTATGTTAACTCATTATAGACCACATGAGGAATTGGAAGCATTTGTGAGAAAAAATAGGAACCGCCCCCTGACCCCCTATTCAAGGACTTATCTGTCTGAAGGAACATAGTAGGAGGCTCTTTTTGCCTACTCAAGTGAAACACTTCCATTTCTAAACATCTCGGAGAATCAGCAGCTGTCTGGTTCCCTCAGGAGAGCTAGCCAGAAAGGGAGTAAAAGTAGAGCTTCCCAGTCCTTGTCATTCTTTGTGGCTATCCATTATCTAGATGTGTAGGATGATGTTGGTAGTATGCTAAAGAGGTCTGAAAGATTCTATTCAGATATCAGAGGCAGTTACATAAAGTTACTTACCTCACCTCGGAACTTCAGAACTTAACAGAAATTTGTGCAAATGCTCGCTCTTCTCCTTCCTGTACCAATTTGTTCATCCAACTGCCCTACATATTTAATAGAAAAGTTTACGACCTTTGGTTCCAAACTGAACCCCCTGTGCCCCCGTCCTCTCCTCTTCCAGTGTTGGCCGCTTCAGGAACGGGTAAGGACACTGAGCCAGGACACGGGGGAGAACCTGAGGGCTCTTCTGACGCGCCTCTCTTGGACCTCTCTGCCCCCTTCCAATTTATCAGTCCATCTTGAGTGTGTGGTTGGCTGGCTAGCTCCAGGGAGAAATACGACAAAAGGACATGGCAAAGCAAAGCTGCTTAGTTCATGGCAGCCAAGAAACAGTGCAGGGGAGCAGTACCAGAGAGGTCAGGGCCAGGGACTAGATATAGAACCCAAGGCCACACCTCTGTGACCCGCCCAGACACACCCAGCAGTGGGCTTTACACACTTGGCTCCCAAGCCTATCACATTGACAGACAGTTAACCATCACTGGGGCCAAGTATAACACTATACACAAAACATTTTGATATGCTGTCCTTTTACATCTTATGCATATATTCCTCTTGTATATTTGGTATATTTTAAAAATCACTTAAAGGTGTTAGTATTTTATTCTGTGTCTTTTGGTTACTAATATTCTTTCCTTTCATAATACAACTGGGCAATAATCCATTCAACACCATTCTCTGCAATTCAGGTTTTGTTAATATTTGAGGTACTAATTACACTAGCATAGTCTACACATGCTGTGCTCTAGTCTTCTGTCTCAAAAACAACGAACCGGCAGTTTTGTCAAGAGGCTTGCTTCCCAGGCTTGTTGAAAAAGACAGCAAGATGAAAACCAAAGGCCAATATCACTTTATAAGTATACTTTTGTTTCTGTTTGATGCAATCCACATAATTTTAAATGAAAGATCAAAAAATATGTTGTTAAAAATGCAGCGGTGAATTTTTGTATTGTCTTATCAAAAATAGTGATAAAACAGCAACATGGCAGAACCTTTATATAATGAGGCCTTGAGTCTGTAATTACAAGCCTCACATTTCAACAACCTTATTTTGGAACCAGTTATTGTTCGTATATTAACTTCTTATTAAAAGCCTTCAGGTACTTCAGAGAAACTATATTCTTAGCTGTAATCACTTTGTTTTAAAGAAAGGAAAGAGAATTAATATTTATTTGACAACTGCTCTGTTACGGATACCATGCTAGATGCCTCATGTAACTCAGTCCTGTACTGTAGCTATCACCCTCGCTTCACAAATGAGTGAGCATCACTGTATATGTGACTTGCCCAGGGTCACATAGCAGGTAGGTACTGAAGCCAGGTTCTAACATGGATCTTCCGACGCCCGCATTCAGGACTCTTTCCATCCACCAGATCATACTACCTTGTATGGTCCCAATTCAGTGTAACTTTAAGATCCCTGTAATTTCTATTTTTATACTTTTCATACCTTTTTACAGAATGACTTGTTAGAAAAATATTTTAGAAAATCTTAAAGCCATTTGTCTGGCATAATTTTTAGATATATTGTAATATTTCCTTATTTTAGATATATTGTAATATGCTCTAGTTTAAGTTAACTCAGCTTTTGAGAAGTGTTAATGTAATTGTTGCACAACATTGTGGACGTGCTTCCTGCCACAGACTATTCTCTTAAAAATGATGAAAATGATAAATCTTGTATATATTTTAACACAGTAAAATAAATTTTTAAATGTTGCATTTGGGAACTTTAAAAAGTAAATTGAAACTTTCAATAAAATTATTCTGCTCTTTTGTGGTGTTTTATACTATTTTTATAGTGATTTTGAATTTAATTCCTTTCCAATTTGTATGCCTATTCTAGTACTATACCAGAGCTTAGATTTCTGAGGCAAAAAAAGAAAAGGAATTCTAACCCCAAATTGATCGTATAACTAAAACAATAAATACATTTCAGAATTTGACTTTGAAAGGTGCTCTTTTCTTTCTCTTTAAAGTGACATTGAACCAGACTGAACATAATCTGACAGTGTCCCAGATTCCATCTCCACAAACGTGGCATGTGTTTTATGCAGACAAGCATACATGCAAAGGTGACACGGAGACTTCTCAGGTGGAAGATATCCCATTTGAAATAGTGTTGCTAAACCCAGACGCTGAAGGGAATCCATTTGACCATTTTAGTGCTAGGGAATCTGGTAAGAATATCTATTTAAATACATCATAAATTTTTTTAAAAGACGTATGTACAAATATCTTCATATTGTATTTTTAGAATATTAAAAACTAAAAAGCAACCTGTAGATTTAACAATAGGAAAACAGTTAAATGAATCTTCTTAGAGGATTTTGATAGCTATAATATTGTTTAAAAAGCAGAACACTGAATTTTATATTGCATGACTACGAGTGTATTTAAAACTGCAGAGAATAAACTATAAAAATATTAAGAGATGGTCTGCATATTCTGGGTGATAGAGTTGTGTTGTTTTTAGTTTCTTCTGTAGAGTTGAAATCTTGTTTTTATCATATCCTAGCATTAATTTAATAAACATGTTAATAAATTGAACAATCTAAATTAGTAAGTCAGTGATTGAGATTAGAAACTTGAACTACTTTGTAGGGCTGTCCGTTCACTAGGTTGCTTGAACAAATATAGACATTACCTTTATTGGTGTTGACTTTGGAATGAGCAGAAACTAATGTTTTCTAAAACAAGATTTACTCCCTGAAGATGTTTCATCAAAATTTTAGACCACTGCATTCTGCCCTACCGTCCTAGCCCTGACAGAATGAATGACTTCTTATGATAATAAACGTACTATAAAATTAATAGGTCTGTCAACATGGAGTAAGGCTCTTTGCAGGCCATCTCAAAGAAAAGAGTTTGGGGTTTACCTCTTTATGAGTTTATTGGTCATCTGAAATTGTCAATCTGCTTACAGAGAAATCAGCTCCATTCCATCTCATTGGCCGTAAAGGAGATGGGTGGAAGGTAGAGGGCCTCACTAGACTGAACTACTTGGTTAGTTCAAAGTATACATTTTCTGCAGGGAGAAAAGCAAGTCAAAGATCATATATAAGAGATAGTAGGTCACAAATAATGTATAAAGGAATGAGCATTTTTAAGAAGTATCCTTTGGTTTGAAAAAATTCATACAGAGTAACAATAGAATGCCCAACATTTTTAAATAGTTTTAGAAGTTCTTTTTGTGAAGGAAATTACATAGTGTAAGCAACTCAAGTTATTTTTGAGTACAGAGGACCTTAAAGGTTATGTTTCACTAATGACACCTTGGGCCACTATAGGTCATCATTGGAAGTTAATTGAGTCCTCAAATTTCTTTTATCTTTATAGTAAATGTTGACATTTTCCACATTTTGGAAAGATAACTGATGAAACCCAGGTCTGCTGATAGATAGCATTTGATGGATGGTTGGAATAAATTCCTTTAAGGTCCATTTTAACTATGACACTTGTTTTTAGCATTGGTCTAGGCTCACCAAGAAGTAATACTCTGCTGCAATCACTGTACACGTAAACCCTCTGCCTCTAGTAAAGTCTCAGTCCTCTGGCCCTCTTCCCTCCTGCCTTCCAGGCAGTCAACCTTTGACTCAAGAAGTGTTTTATTTATTGCATACATTCATGAGACTCTTCTGGATCTTAATACACTTTTTCTTGCCTCCTTATCCTGGCTCCCATTTCTGCCTCATTCCCAATTTGGCATTTGAACTCTGACTTCCACTCCATAAACTGTTCACATTTGTGCTATGGGCCATGCTCGGGCCCCTCTTGCCTATCTTGCCTATTATCTTCTAATGTTTTCCTTAACATCCTGGGTTCTGGCTGCCTTTAGGATTCATGCATTCTCATTTAGTTCTTTGTTCTCCTTCTACCTTTTCCTGATTTTGTCACTGACTGTGATTTGGTGCTTACTCTGATATCTAAAAGCATTCTTTTTTTATTCCAGAACAGAGCAAGTTACATTGGTCAGGTCACTATGATACTTAAGGAGCAACTCTGAATATGCATTTTTATTAACTGTGAGATTCTGGGCAGGTCTAACCTGCAGGGCTTGATTATTAAAAAGTGCCAAAAGTATCCAACCCTATTGTGTGGCTGACTTAATTCCAAAAAATCACATCATTGTATTGATTAAAATGCTAAAAGCCTTTGTGCATAATTCTACATTGAATAATACATTGGTACAACCAATACTTTACTGTATATACATCTAGAGAGATTTAGGAAAAAAAACAAAAACCAGGTGTCTACCCTTAGAGTCTCAAATAAGTTTGGTTTGGAGTGGAAGCCACAAGCTGGTTCAGAGCTCTGAAGTTGATTCCCATGTATAGAACCACTTATCTAAAAATCTGCATTCCATATTGTTGTAGTGATGTGTTGGTTTAACGTAGAGCCCTGAGAGAGATTCTTCCTATTCTGTACCCTCAGTTATGGAATTTGTTTCCAGGGGGATAATCTCCAATTGATTCAGTTTAAACACTGTTGCTAATTTTATCTAATTATCTGTTCTAAGTAAGGAAAATTAATTTGCTATGCTTTTTACTAAGAACTATTACGATATTTCTAAGAAGTTTGAATTAAAATAACCTGCTGCACATAGCCAAAACTAACGTTGCATGTTACTGTGGTGAAATTTTATAATTTGTTTTCTTTCAAACCAATTAATGTATTTTATATTTACCAGAGTTTTAAATTCATAACTTTACACAGTAGGTTCGGTCCTACAAAACAAACTAAGGCAAGTTTTATACCACTTGACAAAGTACTAAATATGAATATAATTCTTTAAGGTAGAATAAAATGGAACTGTTTCTTAAAAAGATTAAAATCTTTGCCTACAGTATTTGTGCTCTTGTTAGAAACCAAAAGAAGTATCTGGAAACCTGAGAGCAGTATGACCCAAAGCAGATAGACTGGTTTTCATTGGAATATTACAGCCCTGCTGCTTTTGTGGTCTTGCCATTTTTGATTCCAGCAGATATCTTCATGCTTTTTTCTGTTTTCCTTTTTTCCTCCATGTTTCAAAAGATAACAGGTTGGTCATCCCATTTAGCACTGGTAACATGTTGCTAGTAACATGTTAGGATGTTTTTGGCTTAAAGTAACAGAAAACCTTCATGCAAGTGGTAGGGACAGTAAAGAAATTACTATTTTAAACAGTAAGTTCCAAGGTTTCTCAAGGGTAGATTATTTAGCATCTCTTCCCTGCTATCTTCCGATCCTCACCTTTCTCTTTAGCTCCCTCAAGTTCAAAGTTAGCTGTAGCAGCACTTCTGAGCATTCCGTGTAGGTAATAGTGATAGTCTGTATCTTTTTGAGAGGAGGGAATTCCCCATCACTTTTCATTTGTCAGAACTGGGTCATATACCCTTGCTGTACACCATCACAGAGAAAGGTAAGTTAAGATGTCAGAAAGATGATAAAGGTAGACAAATCCAGCAAGGATATTAGGTTTACCTCCTGCTGGCAGGGTATTGGAAATTCTGATTGGTTTTGGGACACAGCAGAGTGAGTGGACCCTGGGACTCTGAGACCACAAGATGGTGGAGAAGCAGGTCTGTCTGCCCCTCAACCCAGGCTTCTTCCCCTTTCTCTACCCTCCTCTCCTCTCCCTTGTCCCTTTAGCTAGGGCTCAAGTGACTGAAGCTATCCTCTTAAGTTTTATTCCTACTTAATTTTGCCAGTGGTTTTTCCTTAAGTTTGCCATGCTCATCTTTAGTGTGTACTAGGTTTAAGGTAAGGCTTAACAGGCAGTATCCATCCACTTGTTTTAACATTAGATTTTCATTTCCATGTGAACAAACACAGACTGCTTTCTTGTGAAGGCTGGGAGCAGAACAGAAGTAAAATTAGTAGCTGAAGAGAAAAACAGGGGGACTTTTCTTAGAGGTGATGTAAAAACAAACAAACACTGAGAACAGAACCAGCATTTTATCCTTAAAATGTCTTGTGAATGGTAAAAATCATTTACAAGGAAGAATTATTTATCTAAAATTTAGTGAAAAAAAAGGACAGGATAAATGTCTCAGTTTAGTTTGTTTAATGTATTATTTCACTGAAACAGTTTTCTTTGTTGGTTATAATGTTAGCTTTTCCTGAGACATACATTAAATATTGTATAATCCTAAAACATTTTTTCCTGGCGATGTGTATGTTATTTTTTAAAGTCTCCTACATTCTTGTAATTTCTCAGTAAATCGAGAATTTTATTTTCATGATAGATTTGTAACCTAATGGAGCCTGATGCTTTATCCTATAATTCTATCAAGTATTATAAGTAAATAAAACTTTAAATAGAATGCTTTAATTCTTTAATACAAAGAAGGAAAAATAAAAACTTAAGATCCAAAACGCAGCATAACATAAAGACCCACAGGTGTTATGGTAAACATTTGAATTTTCTGTCTTGTTTCAGTATTTCTAAAGCTGCAATACATATCTATGTAAGAAGTTTAAAAAGAAAGTATGCCCCTTCTGTTATTTGATCTTCTTTTCCTGAAGTCTAAATAGACCTTTTTACCTGTGCTAAAAAAAAGTGAACTATCAGCCTTTCTGTAGGTAGAGCAGGAGAGACACCCAGTGGCTGAAAAACTTCTTGCTGTTTTTTCCCCCCTCCTAACTATACGGAAAAAAAAAAAAAAAAGATTGAGGTTGAACAATTTATTGGCTGTTTTTCCCATGATTTGTGTCATCTGGATTGCTTTTCCAAAATTGTTTTTCACATAATGGATATATTCTCATTTCTGCTCATTAATTGGCGTTTACCCTAGATGGGAAATTGAAGCAGGCCTAGTGTTCACAGCTGGAGTGGGAGAGATTGCAGTCCAGACGGTTCAGCCCCAGACTCGAGAGACAACTTTATTCACAGCCTCAGCAGTAACACTGTGGTGTTACACAGACTGCAAAATCCTGGCTATTGGGGACTTTTGTTTCTTTTTGGTACCGGGGATCAAACTCGGGACCTTGCGCTTGCAAGGCAGGCAGCCGAACCACTGAGCTAAATCCCCGGCCCTATCGGGGACTTTTTAAAGTGTAATCAAGAACAGTTGGCATTCCGTGTGTACGGTTCCTCATCTCTGGATGCAAAAAACCGTGGATCAGACATATTTGGGGGAAAAATTGTGTCTGTATTGAACATGTACAGACTTTTTTCCTGTCATTATTTTCTAAACAGCGCAGTATATCTCCTATCTAGATAGCACTTGTATTATGTTAAGTATGATAAGTGATTGGAGATAACTTACAGTATGTGGGTGGCTGTACATAGGTCATGTACGGATACTGTGCTCTTTCATGTAAGGGACGTGAGCATCCATGGATTTCGGTCCTGGAACCAGTCTCTTGGATACTGAGAGATGATTGTTGATGTAAACCGTTAAACTCAAAAACGTAAAACTCAAAGGCTTCTGTGGTAAACTTTCCGATTTATTATAAAAATTTTCTGAGATTTTTGAAAAATGAAAACTCAGCGCAAAGAGTCAAATACAGAAAAAAGTTATCATGGGGTTATGAGGGCGACGCAGAAGAGCTGCCAGTAGGATTTAGAGGTTGCTATGGTGACTGGCACCTCTTTCAATATAAAATCTGCACATTCTTACTTAATCTCTGCCAACCAACTAATCCCCTTTGCTCCTGACTTCTGCTAACTCACTAATAATTTCACCAACCATATCGTCATGGCCTGTCCTGACCCAACATCAACTCCTTTCAGCTTCAACCTCTCCTATGTACTTCCTTTCCATATTTTATACTTTGAGTTCTCAGGAGAGAATCTCATTTGCCAACTTAGTTTTAAGAAACAAGTTCTGTTGTTAGCCACTTGGCTTGGTGGCCATTTGTTTGGTGTCACAGTTGTGGCCAATTGTGGAGTAGAGTCAACTGTCCATCAGGTTTCTTCATTGGCAGGAGCTACAGAAACTTATCTCAGAAGGGGCTCTGGGCATGACAGGTGTTTTAAAGCTTTGTCCAAGTGAAAAGTCAAAGAAATGGAACATTGCAGGGCTGTGATTCTCATATGTTAGTTGTAGCAGAATCACCCTCAGGCTTATTAACATGGATCGCTGAGCTTCACTCTCAGAGTTTCTAATTCGGTAGATTCGAGGTGGATCCTAAGAATTCGCATTTATAAGAAGTTCTCTGGTGAGGCTGCTGACCCAGGGACCACACTTTGAGAAGCACTGTGGAGGTATACTAAACTATTGTTGACTGAATAAATCCATTTCTAAACTTCTTATGCAGGAAGTTCACCTTGAGGGTAAGAATTGTATGTAACTGAATGCTGAAGTCATTGTTTTCACTTGTTATTTTTAAACAAAACTGATTTTACGGTGTGTCTTTTGACTTCCTTCACTATGGTTTTTTTTTACAGATTTGACTTTAGTTCAGCCTAATCTACTTTCTTATAGTTACAACTTTGTCCCAAAGTAGAAAATTAGTTTAATTTCCCTCTTTTTTGTTCATATAAAAGTGAATGCTATGACTCCAGTTAAAAAAACAAGTTCTAGAAAAATACTGACAGGAAGATTTGAAAGCAGCCCAAAACTAATCTGGCGTTGTTTTACTGAAGCAAACTCCCTCTCTTCTCTTCACAGGGTTACATGAGTTCTTTTTCCTTCTAGTCCTAGTGTACTTTGTGATTGCTTGCATTTATGCTCAATCATTGTGGCAGGCTATTAAGAAAGGAGGACCCATGCACATGATTTTAAAGGTTCTGACAACTGCATTGCTGTTACAAGCTGCTTCAGCTTTAGCTAATTACATTCATTTCTCCAGGTAACTCAAAACCACTAAAACTGTGTTCATCATTACATCTAATTAATCCTAATTAGTCTGCCAAAATTATGCTTGCTTTGATTATGAGCAATTTTTTTTCATATTTGTAATTCACACTCTTCAATTTCCCAGGTACTCCAGAGATGGAATAGGGGTACCTTTTATGGGAAGTTTGGCAGAATGTGAGTATCTTTCTGAGCATTATTTTTTGTTTTTGTTGTCGTTTACGATAAACTTGACATCTGTTTATTTCCTTTTGTTAAAATTATTCTGGGCTGAGGGTATAGCTCAGTGGGAGAGGTGCTTGCCTACCGGGTGTGAGGCCCTGGGATTGACGTCCACTGTCACACCAAAAAGAGAAAGAATAAAGAAAGATTTTTCTGTCTAGGGCCGATTAGAACTCAGCTCTGTTGAAAACAGAGTTGCAGATTTAGTTTTCGTGTGTGCTGTTTAGTTTCTTCTTAACAATAGAGAGTGTGTGTGGTGGCTCTTAGTTGTCTTTAGGGCATATTTGTATATATTCCCTCATTTTATCCTCAGTAAAAAGTAGGTGTGCTTGTTCCTGTTCTGCGCATAAAGAATCTGGGCTCAGTGAGAGGAACATGGTTCCGAATATCAATCAGCTGTTGAGCAAGAGCCCAAACTCAGACCTGTGCTGATTCCTTTTTTCTATACTGTTTGTTTCCGTTTCTGACTCAGGGCCTTATGTACACCTATAATTAAGCTGTTCTCATACCTTTGTTCTTTTATTTATAGGAGAAATGCTTATGAATTAATTTTTAATTCATCATGATAGAAAAATATTTAATTTTTTTCAATTTTTATTTTTTATTAGCACATGTTGGGAGTATGTAATGATTTCATTCTTGATGGGGAGTTGGTACATGCACATAGCACATCTTAACTCTTGAAAAAAGGTGCTTAAAAGGGCCTATAGTCATGATATCTTAAAGAGAAATTCAGAAGGACATTAATTCATATGTCATTTTTAAGGCTGGAAAACAGATTTGCTCTAAAAAGCAGATTTTGAATACGAAACCACACCAGGATTTACCTTTCCTTCTCTTTTCATATTTTTCTTCTGGTGTCTTACAATACTTGCCATTAATCATCTTAGGACCCACTCATCCGGACCGTGCCACCTGTTTTAAGGTTCTGGAACTTCAGGAGCCTTTTAACCTGCTTGTGAAGAGGATTTGTATCGCCTTCTGAACATTGTCTAGAGCCCTTCTTCTCCCTTTTTTGGAGGATGGTAGCACATGAAGTATTAAAGCGGGACTGGACCTGAAGAGTAATTTAGCTTATAAGTTTTCGTTGAGGAAATTCAAGTCCACAAAGAACACAGAGCCAATTAGTGGCAAAGCTGTTACTAAAATCAAAGACTTTTGAATATTTATGTCAGCTATATACAAAACAGTGTTTTAGACTGTCTGACATTTTCACTGAAGGCTGGAAAACAAAAAAAAATTGTTTCTGTTCTTAAAAGACTACAATAAATTGATGTTGGTAACTTTTATAGTTCCCAGAATAAAGAGTTTGGTTGGTTAAGGGATTAGAATTCAAGACAGAATGGAGTTTTTGTGAGATCTGTATATTTTATCTAAAATTAGTTATTTTTCAACAATAAATGAACAATGTTCCACTCATCCATTTATACAGTAGTATTATATTGGTTGGTCTGTATATCACTTAGTACATAAAGAAATGAGTCAGAAAATTAGGGAACTTTCCCCCAAGGTATTTGTTTTTGATGCATAGCAGCTTATGTAGAAATATTTCTTTAGCCAACCTCTATGTATTTGTGAGGTGTTTAATAAAATTAATTGGTATCACAGTCATTTAAAACTGTGATGAAACAAAAATGAATTTAATGTGACAGGCCATGACATTTTATATCATTCAAGCATAGTGACAATTCATTATCAGAATGTAAAGTAACTCTGCAAGGCAGAGGAAGATCTGTCAAAATATATCTACAAAAGTATGTCATTAGTAGATTTTTGACTTGCAGCTTTTAAGTATAAGCATTATACACTGCAGCTAGTTGTCTCTGTTTCTGCAAGAACATCCTTGTGTTAAAAAACAGTGAAGCAGCCAGGCATGGTGGCGCACGCCTATAGCCCCAGCACTCCAGCAGGCCAAGGCAGAGTTGCCAGTTTGAACAGCTTAGTGACTTACTCACACCCTACCTCAAAAATTAAAAAGGGCTGGGGATGTAGCTCAGTGTGAAGGCCCTGGTTTCATTCCACAGTACTGTCCCAAAAAAGAGAAGTAAAAATCACCAACATCAAAGTGATGGGTGACAGTAGTTAAATTGGGGCCACAAGTTTATTCTAAAATGAAAATCTACTATGGTAAGAAAATGATAGCCTTCTAAAAAATCAATAATTACTAGTTTATAATAAATATGCACAGAACTAGAAGCATTTATAGGTTTTTGTTTCCTTGTGGTGTCCGATTGCATCCATTTTAAGGTAGCAGGCTTCCCCTGCAGTGCAAGTGATGGCCACACGGTGGCACACTGCACCAGTTCATGGAGCTTTTCATTTGTCCTCGGGACTCTGAAACCAAAGCCAGAGTAATTGGATGTTGCAGTGACTATACACTTCATGGTCATAGTGTTTCTTATTAATAATTCTAGAGCATTCCCTTCATATTATACTTCAACCATCAAAGATAATCCTGAAAACCCAGAAATGAAGGTACTCAAGTTTTCCACATTGCAGAAATGATATTTGAAATTTGTGTATTTTGATCAGGCTTATGTGTACAATTATAAAAGCTGAGAAAAATGGGAATCATGAAAAGCTTTAAGATTAGACTTAGAAAAATGATAAGGACATCTGTATATTTTAAAATAGGACTATTGCCGCTGTTTTAACTGTTTCTTACAAATGTTTACAAATTATATCACAAATTTTTAATCCCTTAAAACTACTATACATGAATACCTCTTACTGAACTTCCTTAGCTTCTCTTTGAAAATGCCCATCTTTTTGTGACAAAAAAGGATTGTTCTTATCTAAGTACAAAAAAGTACCAACTTCTGTGTATTGTGGAAACTTGGCTGACTTTGATTTTCATTTCCCTTTAGTTTTTGATATTGCTTCCCAAATCCAGATGTTATATCTACTCCTGAGTCTGTGCATGGGTTGGACAATAGTCAGAATGAAAAAGTCTCAGAGTAGACCTCTTCAGTGGGACTCTACCCCTACATCCACCAGCATTGCAGTGTTCATTGTCGTAACCCAGGCGAGTGTTGATACTCAGTTTTTCCTTCTAACGTTTAGAAATGCAATCTTGATGGTATCTCATTTCAAAATTGAAACCTGGGATTCATGATGAATTTGTGTTATTTTGAAATAATGGATTTAAAGAATGATTGGTCAAATACTCTGTGAATCTTCTGGGTACTAAATATATATTATATATATGTTACAAAATATACATGTATAAAATTTAATTGTAATTTACTTGACTGAGCTTCCTGCCAATTTTTAAAAGCACAGTATTTCCCATTTAATAATTTTATTTCATATTTTGTCACATGATAAGTATTCAGCACTGAATGAGTGAATCAGTGAATTTGAGATTTCATCTATTGACAAGACTCTTTAGAACTATACATAAAAGTATTCAGCTGACTATCTGAGATTAATTAAAAGGCTAACTATGGCGTAAGAAAGAATGATATTCTGTTTTTGAAAACAAATACAAAAACAAAACTGGATTTTAGAAAAAAATACTATGTTTTCCTCTGTATTGGTATCATTGACATGGATATCTAGAATATCCATATGTCTATGTGCAGTGAATTGTAAAAATTCACATGAAAGCTATAAAAAATTCATATTGAGTCTGTAAGATGATAATGAGCTATGCACCTAGCTTCAGTAAAGGACATTATAATGTAAATTTTAGTACATTAAATAAATTGAAAAATTCAGGATTGAAGGGTGGGGCCAGTGCTGTATTCATCCGTAACCCTAGTATTTGTTTAGCATGGTAGGTGCTGTGTGAAGTAAGCATATTGAATTTCCATGAGTGATTTAAGAAAGATACCATATTCCAGGGGGTGATGTTTAGAAACAGTTCCAGGAAGGGAGCTAATGAGAAAGAATTAGAAATGATTAAAATACGAGCAAGATTCTAACCAACTTAATATTTTTGATGCAGGACTTCTGAAGAGTAGTGTTAATATCAGGTTGAATTTTCATTTCTCAATTCATAACTCTTTTAAAACTTTAGTTTTCATTATCACTTTATTATAATTTTACTTCATTATCATAGACAAATACAAATTGAGAATTAAGACTTTGACACTGCACTAGAGCTCAAGTGGGCATCTAGAGCTTAAGTGGGCATTTATTAAACATGCATTAGACTGGGGCCGGGGATTTAGCTCAGTGGTTCCGCTGCCTGCCCAGCAAGCACGAGACCCTGAGTTCGATCCCCGGTACCAAAAAAAAATGCACTAGACATAGTCCTGATCAACAGTAGCCAAACAAGGCTGATGAGACAAGTAACCAAAGATCTCATAGATCCATAAATAAATAGGTCACATATTATCATATGTGTATGAAAATAAGGAATTCAGACATACAAAAATGTGAATCCTAGGAAATGGCAGCTTTATAATAGTACTTGTTTACTGTAAAAGTTAAGTTTAGAAATGTAGTTAAAGGAATCAGATGACAGTAAAAGTAGTAATAGCAAATATTAGGCCCAAGAAGGAAGTTTCACAGGTGCAGGATGACAGAGGAGTTCACCTATTAAGAATATTAATATAGGGCCGGGGATTTAGCTCAGTGGTTCCGCCTCCTGCCTCACAAGTGCAAGGTCCCAAGTTCGATCCCTGGTACCAAAAAAAAAAAGAATATTAATGGAGTAATATTGGGTAGAAAAAGAGAGAGTGAGGACAGGAAAAAGTTTCTTATAAACCCTACAAAGGCTAAGAATTAGATTTAATACTGAGTTTTTATCTTATGTCTTTGGAGGTCACTTACGACACAGTTCTGAGAGCTTTAGTTGACAAATGAAGGAAGCCCAAAGGCATATTTGATGATGAAAACATTATGTGATTGAATGTTTAGTATGGGCAGAGGGAACATGAACTCTGATTTGTATTGAATAGAAGTAAAGGGAATAGCATAAAGAGAACTCTTTACTGTTGCAGTAACGATAGGGAGAAAAGGTCAACAGACAAATAAGGATATATAAAGATGCCCTGGGTGCTTATGATGAATATTTTTGAAAATGTGCTTTCCTTTGCCTTTCATACTAACCATGAGAAGGTTATCGTGGGAGAATGAAATCTAAAATCAGCCATTCTTACTTGCCTTGTTAATTTCTGGATTACAAAATATTTTGAGATACTGAAAAGTTACTTGAGATAGTAAGCTGGAAGGCAGAAGTTTGATTTCTCATGATGGTATTGAAGGAAGGAGATAGATTTAGAAGAAAGTTTGCATTTATTCTCAAACATTTCAACAGCATTTTGTCCTTAGAGATGTCGAATTTGAATCATGACGGCAGTATCATCTTCTTGTTTTTAAACTGTCTCATTTGATAAAAATCCTCTTTCTCCATAGCTTATGCTTATTAGAGAAAGGAAAGGCTGCCTGTACTTTACTATGGACTTTATTAAGCCTTTGTAGTCTGATAAATCTTAGTCTCTTAGGAATACTTTCATAATGTTTATGTCTGTTATATAATGCTTAAGGGAATGTTTGCAAGAGTTGAAAAACTACTTTAAGGTAGATAGTTTTCATTTTTCTCTCTAAATGTCATATTTTTTGCAGAGTATTTTGCTACTTTGGGAGCAGTTTGGAGATACCAGTCATCATAGCTCCCATTCACACCACAGCCTAGCAGGGATCCTTCTCATCGTTTTAAGAATTTGCCTGGCGCTGTCATTAGGCTTCGGACTCTATCAGATCATCGTGGTGGAGAGAAGCACCCTCAAAAGAGAATTCTACATCACATTCGCCAAAGTATGAGTCGGGGTAGAAAGTGGCTTCTTCTGATTATCGCCTTCTTTCGAATTTCTGTGGGGTGTCACAAACAACTACATGCTAACCTGTGTTAAATTTTCATTATGTGCCAAGCACTTTTTGATTTATTTTTTATTTGTTTTTTGGTTTTTTGAGATGGGGTCTTGTTATGTATCAGGCTGGTCTTGAACTCACTACAGAGCCCAAGCTGGCCTCAAGCTCTGGCCGATCCTCCCACCTCAGCCTCCTTCCTGAGTGCTGGGATCGCGGGTGTGCACCACTGTGCCTGGCTTCAAGCACGTCTATAGGCACTACTCTAAGCCCTTTATTTGCTCTTCTTATTTAATATTCCAGCCTACATAATGTATTAGCTCCATTTTACAGAACCCCCATTATATTCCAGGTAAACTTTGGTAGGTCAATTTTGCCTCATCTATAGTTTCTTTATCATTAGGTATTTTATACTTTTTCTATGGTATAGAATATTTAAATTTTTTTTTAATAAATTAGAATATGGTCTGCAATTTCTCAACAGCTAACAATGAACTACTGCTCTCAGAGTTATGCAGTGTTTTAGCAGCCTGTGAGGAACCATTTTTCAGCATAAGTGAGGGAAGCCAGGAGGCTGAGGACCTAGTATGTTGCAGCCCCTTCATCCATATGAGATCGTGTCCACCTTATTCCCCCATTTATGTCCATCTTACAGCTGAGAAATCTTAAAACAGATTCACTTCTTTTTGTACCTGTTTAGTCCAAGAAAGGGACCAGAAGAGGGACTGGAGCAGTAACTTACAGAAGTCTCCCTCCCTGGAAGGTTCCGTTTTTCTGTCAGGTTGAGAGAGTCCTGCCCCTTCGCATCTGCAGCTCACACTGGCACCGAAAGCTGTCTGGCGCCCAGCCCGGCCCCGGCGTCCCAGCACTCTGAGGTGGCCGTGCAGGAGGACCAAACTCCCTCCTGACTCCCGGAGTGAGCTTTGCAAAACTGCTGCTGGGGCTGCTGCTGCAGCCCCGGGAAGCCGTGTCAGGCTCTGGAGTACCAAATGAGCAAGCCAGGGCCATTTTGCTTTTGAATTTTTCACCGGGTCACAGAGTGCTTGTTTGGTTAGTGTACAGTGGAGGTGTTTAGGCATTAGGTTTTCCTCTTTTGTCTTACATTTGAAACAGTACCAAATGCTTTTCCTTAAAAATTATGTTTTAAATTTAACTTTTTGAATGGGTCAAACATCCAGAAGTATTTAAAGAGCAGCAGAAAGTACTTCTCACCTTGCTCCCTTCTACTCGCTGATTGTCACCTCCTCATATAATTTCTAACATTGGTACCTAATTCATTTTCCTAGAGTTTGTTTGTTTGATTTTTGAGACAGGGTCTTGTTATGTAGTTCCTGCTGCCCTGGAACTCATATGTAGTCCAGGCTGGCCTCGAAATCATGGTGATGTTCTTCCCTCAGCCTCCCAAGTGCTGGGATTGCAAGTATGCACCACCACACCGGCTGCTGGAGAATTTTTAATACATATTCTTATGTACAGTTCCCTCCATTTTAATGTAAGGAATAATAGACTAAACACTTTTTTCTACATCTTTTTTTTTGCCCCTAAATCCTCAGTATGCCCTAAGTATTTATTAATTTGTTATGTATTTAATTTTAGAAAAGGGAATATGTTGCCACTGTTCAAGGGGAAATAGAAAAAGGCATTTGAAAAATACAAAGTTTCCCATTTTTATTTGTCTAGTTTCCCCTCCATACATCCCTCAAACAGTGAACCACCTTTAATCAAGTTTTTTGTATATTTTTACAGAATTTCTTTGTGTATCTCCATGGAAATAGGAATATATACTCTTTTTTTTTTTTACAGAGATAAACATACACCTTGCTTTTCTCAATTTTTTATATTAATGTATTTATACTATATCAAAATATGTAACAGCATTATAAATATAAGGTTATAAATAATTCCAAAAAATACTCATTCAATTAGAAAGAAAGTATGAAATCATAGCAACAGTAAATTTATTTCTCTCTTGTATTGCAAGCTCTATTCTCAGGCTATCGGAGGCCAATCAGAACCTAAATACACTGGTGGTGATTTTATTTGGTACATTTTTAAAGTAGAGACCCAGCTGTGCTTTGTTTGACTTACTATTCATTTGTTTCAGGGCTGCATCTTGTGGTTTTTATGCCACCCGACTCTAGCGTGCATTTCCCTCGTGTTTAGTGACTACCAGAGAGATAAGGTAAGGAATGATATATGTCACACATGATCAAAATATTTTCCTAAGTGAAAATGTCGTCTTTGTTGGAAAAATGTTAAGGTAGGAGGGGCCTGTTTATCCATTCAGAAGTTTCTTGAGTTCTTTAAAATAAAACTTTGAAACCTATTTAACCAGTGGACATTAGAAGTTCAAAGTACAGAGTAAGTTTTTCTTACATTTAATTTACAAGCAAGATGATGCAAACAACTTTTGTCATAACATTAGCCTATTTCAGAGTGATGTTTTATAAATTGCAGGGAGTTTTTTGCGGTGCTGGGGATTAAACTTGGCCTTGTGCATGCCAGGCAAGTGCTCTGCTGCTGAGCTGCATCCCCAGCCCCAAATTATAAAATTTATGATGCATCTTCATTAAGAAAAAAAGATTAAACCTTTTTGCTACATAATGGTAAAATCAAGATAGGTTTATGAAAATCAATCTTGTTACTTCTGAGACTACAGCCCGAACTGTCACAGCTCACATAGGCTGAATTTTGAATCTGCCTTCTTAGCTGAGTGGCTCCGTCGGTTCAAAGTGGAGTTCTGCCAGAGCCCTTTCCAGGCAGTGCCATATGTGCTGGAACATGCAGCTGTGTACTGAGGCCGAGGTGTTTACATGGGGTAGATAAATAGGAAGACAGTATACAGAAAAGGGAAGTGACTCGAGCATTTTTGAAAGGGCTCATAGAGTATTCTAACATTTGGGTAGGGGGCATGCTTTTCTCATCTTACTACATCAACCTGGAATCTGAAACTCCTGTCTAAAGTGTGCGCATCCTTAGGAGAGAATGCTTTAGTAAATTATTTCGTGTCTATGGCGTCTGTAAACCATGTGGGCAAGGAATTGTACCCTTGGACAGTTACATTTCTGAACATAAGTCATATTTTACTGTAGAAAATGTCTTTGGTAAAATGTACTTATAAAGATGAAGAATAATGTACTGAATATAAAAAATGTGTGTGAGTTCCTGATAAATCAAATATACTTTACTTTCTCTGTTTCAGCATGTGGTAAAAGCATTCTTTTTTTTTGCAGGTTGCTACAGTAGGTGTTATCCTTTGCCAGTCTGTGTCCATGCTTATTCTCTACAGACTCTTCTTATCCCACAGCCTATACTGGGAAGTTTCTTCGCTTTCCTCAGTAACCCTACCACTGACCATATCATCTGTACACAAAAGTCGACCTCACTTCTGATGGTTGTTGTTAAAAGAAAAAGTGAATTGGTTAAAAGAGTGCAATAAGGATCCAAATATAGTGACTCTTTTTTCATACATTTGGTATGAAAAATCCAACAGTGAAAGTAAAGCATGCTATTTATATAACTGCATTTAAGCAGTATCAAAACTTAGAAAAGGTAATGTGAAATGTTTTGAAATATGCTTATACAATAAACTTTGAAGAAGGAGTGTTGTTATAAGGTGACTGAAAGACTTTCCATATGTTAATAAATGTGAAAAAGTTATATGATACTTTGGGAGGATGTTCACTATTTACTATGCCACATATCCATAGCTAACTCAGGTTTGATAGTCTTTTAAACAGTAATCAGTTTGGGCCGGGGATTTAGCTCAGTGGTTCAGGTGCCTGCCTTGCAAGCGCAAGGTCCCGCGTTCAATCCCTGGTACCAAAAAAAACAAAAAAAAGTAATCAGTTAAATGATTACTTGCTGATACATATCTAAACTAGTCCAGTTAGGAAATCAGTATAATACACTGATTTTAAAAACTGCTTGTTTTGCCAGAGATTTAGCTCAGTGATTCCACCGCCTGCCTCGCAAGCACAAGGTCCCGAGTTAGATCTCCAGTACCCCCCAAAAAAAAAAAGCTGCTTGTTTTTGATGCTTTCAAAGAAATGCATTTCATATTAGAATTTAAAAAATAGAAATTAAAATTACTTCAGGAAATGAATATTAAATGTTCCAAATTAGATGAATAAGCTTTTATTTGTGAGTGAGATTATTCTCCTTTTTTTTCTTCATTTTTGGCACTAGTTCAGGTTTTAGCTTGACCAGCAAAGGATTTTTGACAAATAATTTATGAAAAATAAAACTTAGGTACATTACAAGGGTTGTAAGGACAAAGGATTTTAAAATCTGACCACTTAGGTAAAGGGACAAGTGGCTTTATGTTTAAAAAGAAAGAAGGAAAAGGTACTATGTGATATGCTGCTAAAGTTTTTAATCCTGATATAATTCATTTCTCTTACATTGAATCCCCAATCATAATTAAGCCATATACACAGATTAAATTAACAGAAGCATTTCACATAAATGTTGGTTTCAGTCATCAACTACCCATGAATTCCTGCCCAAGGATACTTAATCAGGATTAAATTTTCTGTGAATAATTGAAAAACAAAATACTCACTGGATTTGTTATAATCCATGTTGGCACTGGATTCTAAGTAGTTGCCATCTTGAATCCTTTGTAATAAAGCCATATTTGTGTGTGTGTGTGTGTGTGTGTGTGTGTGTGTTTGATGCCCCTGTATTGAGTATGCTAGTTAAAAACTGCTCTTATCAAGTGCCTGATTAAAGATTGCTATGTGCTTGTCAATACCTGTTGTATAAAATGAGTAGGCCCACTAATGTTTACTGATTTGAAATTACTGTGTTGCTGTTTGTCAAGTTGGTCAAACCTTTTTATTTTTACCTGTGGTTTATTTAAAACATACTCTTTATCTACTTGTTACATTTTTAACAAAGAAATGGTGCAATGATCCAGTAATTAAGCCTTTTCGTTAGATAGTTAATGTATTGCAACTTAAAATTATCTATAACTTTTTATTTTTCCCTTGCATGTAGACTTGTTGGAAATGAAGAGTATTCTTATTCATTTTAAAGGCAAAATGTATGTGTCTGTGACTAGCAGAATGGCAAAGGAACAGGTCAGCCTGCTGTTGAAATGACCTGATAGTTCTTTGATTATCATTTATCAAACAAAAGCTGCAGGTTAAGACTAGAAAGTTTGAGGTATATCTTAGGTTTATAGCATCTGGTGAGTGGTCATAACCTTTTTGTTTTACTGTGTCTCACACGCAATACCCATTGATGTCTGTTGTGTTCAACTGAGTTGCTTTTAATTAGCTAAGAAGAGTAGCCTTTTCATAAATTTTGTGAACTTGCAGCAGTGGGAAAGAAATAAGCTTTGTGTCATTTTACATGAATAACATAGTAAATATAATCGAAAGGTATGTTTGCATTTATGAAACTTAACAGATTTCTGTAACCTGACTCTTTAATGTATGGTTGAAATTGCTGGTAATTTATTTTGTTATTGAAGAGCCATTGTGAAATGAAGGAAAACAATTGTGAATAAATGCATCAAACTATCTTTGATTAGCAATCAGGGACAAAACTTACAGTGCATAAGTTGTGGCAGTATCTTTTTTTTCTTTCTGAATGTTTACATGGAGACTTATCACTGCAGATTACAGAAAGATGTGTATAGTGCAAAACCCGATTAAAGAAGAAAACTACTTTTCTTCCTCTGTCAGATAATGCTTTTTAATAGATCATGCTTTTTTTCACACTTTTTTTCCTTAAGGTGAATGGTCTTCCAGGATTCTCCGCTTCTTTTTTTTTTTAGAAGCATTCCTTTCTTCCCTTAAGAAAAATACGAAGTGTTTCTTTTTTTGCTGTGTATAAAGATATGAATGCCTACCATACATCAGCCCTTTTACCCTCATTATGACTAAGCTGTACTGTAATAACCAAGCCTATTTAACTGAGTAGAAGGGAAGAAATATTTCCTCTGAGGTCACTCAAAATAGTGATTTTCTACTTTACCCTCATGATTTAATGAGCATGTTTTTAGAATTAATAGCTATCAATAGTTCATTTTAGCAGTTGATTTGAAAATTAAACTTGGAATTGTGCAGAAATCTAAATGAACTTGAATGTCTTTAAGAACTTGGCACATTTCAGTATTTAAACCTGGCTTTCAGCCAGACAGTCTTGCCAGCAGGGACAATTAATCCGGGCAGAAGAGCATGCTTTAGGGAAATTTTTATGGTCTCAAGTAAAGTTAGCAAAGTCTGATGAAAATAGAAGATAGAAAGTCTCAGGTCAACTGTGGTGAGACCAGAAACTACATCAACCCGAATATGGACCCCTTCAGCAGTTGCCCCTGGGAGACTGCACAGTCTCTGGAAATTCTTTGGAAACTTGGAATTAGTTGTAAAGCATTCTCTTACATAGCTTCTGTGTCACATCTGTGAGGATTTTAATATGATAGAAATAGTCCATTGGAAGCCACATCTAAAGAGGTAACATTGTTTTATCTTCCAGCGTGAATTTGTGAATTCACACTAAAATAATGAGATTGATTTTCCTGTGTGGTCTGAAAACTAGTGGAAGCACTGTAGCTTGGACCCTTGCAGTGGATCTCTAAGTGATGTTGCAGCTTCCACACGCGGCCAGCCCTCTGCAGGGCTGCAGGGCACCATGCACCTTGTGTTCTAAGAGTGCCAGAAGGCCTAGAAGTTCAGGAAGAAGCAGTCCTGTCCATGGGCTCCACTCACCACGCAGCCAAAACAGTCTCTTAAAAAAGGGAAATCAGCCTGACGATGGGCATACAGGAATTCTTTGTGCTGATCTTACAACTTTTTTGTAAGTTTGAGATTATTTCAAAATGCAAAGTTTAAAAAATGTATAAATCAGATCCAACTACTACAGCCCTGAGAAAAGCTCCATTTGCCTCCTCTTGAACTTAGAAGAAAGAAGTGCTCACATGCTACACGTGCTCTGCAAGGCCTCATAGGATCTAGTGCCTTCCTCTGTGTGATCTTACTTTGTGTCATTCTTCCTCCCATAATACCCTAGCTTCGTCCTTTTCTTTGTCAAAAAAACACCCTGTTTGTATCACTGCCTTGGCATTAGCATTTCCTCTGGCTGGGACATCGCCAGATCTTGATATGGTTGTGTAGTCAAGTCCTTAGCCTTTAGCTTCTAGCTCCTGTCTGTCAGAGACGTCAGACCTTCTTCTGGTGGGTTTACCTGGTGCCAATTCAACCAAGCTGGAGATATGCTCCTCAGACGTTATGGGCAGGGTGGGCCTCAAGAAATGTTTGATAGGAGACTGAGAAGACAGAGGTAAGCTAGCAGCCAGGCCTACGTTCTTTCTGGGATTAGGAGGCCCAAGCAAGGTGCTGTTGGCCACTCATTGGCTCGTGTTGGCCTGGGGGACAGCAGCCCACAGGAGTATAGCTGCTGCTCTAGCACTTCCTCCAGCTTCTCCCATTCCTGGGCCAGGTGTGTGTTCCTGGGTGACAGAGGGTGCCAGCTTCTGCAGGACAGTCCCGTGGCTCTGCTGGGACAATCAGAAGAGGTAAGAAATGGGGATAGGTTGCCGTGAGTTCTACTCATCCCAGCATGTTCCCAGTTTCTCCCACTTTGTGTCATGCCAGACCCAAAAGCAGTTGTCTATAATCCCCATAGGTGCTTTGTTTTATTATTATTTTGGTTTGGTTTGGGTTTTGGTTGTTTTGAGACAGGGTCTCACTATGTAGTTGAGGCTGGCCTTGAACTCATGGCAATCTTCTTGCCTCAGCCTCCTGAGTGCTGGGATGACAGGCACATGCCACCACGCCCTGCTGTTTTAAATCAAAGTGTGTGTTACATCCTAGGGTTTCTCTTGTTCTGAGGGACCCTTATGGATGCACTGCCCTAGCTAATGCTGTTTCCCCATCCTAATTACTCAAATAACATTATCTTCTTTTTACTTTGTTGTGCTTCAAATGAATTGTTCTCTCTGTATGTCACGAATGATAAGATTTTGCCCTGCCTTAATCTGAAAGGTTGCTGTAATTTCAATGTGTCCCCCAGGTTCATGCATTGGAAGCTTGATCCTCAAGGCTGCAGTGTAGAGAGTGAGGCCTAATGAGAGGAGATTGGGCTATGAGGGCAGTGCCTTCCTAGGTGGACTAATGCTATTGTCCCTGGGCCTGTTACTTCTCACAAGAGTAGTTTGTTACAGAAAGGATTCTGTCTCGTGTTTCCTTTTGTGTGAGCTCATTTTCCCCTCAGCCTCCTGCAATGTTATGCAGCACAAAGGCCCTTCCTTGCCAGACATGCCGCTGTGCTGTTGGACTTTCCAGCCTCCAGAACTGTGAGCTAAATAAACTTCTTTATTAACTACCCAGTCTGTGGTATTTTGTTACAACAACAGAAAATGGACTAAGGCACTAATTTATCTGTTACAGCATGTATCATGAGTTCTTACTGGTTTACATTGTTTACATGAACAACCCAACTTCAATGTAGGCAGGATTTCATGGATATTACACATGCAGTGGATTTGTACTGCAGCCAAGAAATGGTAAGCTTGGATAATTAACTTTTTTTTTTTTGGTACCAGGGATTGAACTCAGGTCCTTGCGCTTGCAAGGCAAACAACGGAACCACTGAGCTAAATCCCCGGCCCCTGGATAATTAACTTTTAAAAAACTTTTTATTGATTGATTGAGGGATGAACCCAGAGTCTTAACACATGCTGGGCAAATGCTCCACTGATCTACATCCCTGTCCCTAATTTATCTCCTTTATAACTGGCTCTTTATGGAGGGGAAACATTGCCTCCTCTTGTTCACTATATAAAACCCTGAGAAATAGCCCCTAGAAAAGTAGTTATAACCAGGGATTTAGCTCAGTGGTTCCGCCACCTGCCTTGCAAGCACAAGGTCCCTAGTTTGATCCCCGGTACCAAAAAAAAAGTGAAAAGTAGTTAGAAGCTTTCATTCCTGGTATACCCATCAAGTACGTCAAAGATAGCTCAAGGCTTGTGGTGAATTGCCTGTCCTAACATCTGAAACCATTAAAACTCACTCGAGAAGAAATAAAGATCTATCTCGTGTAGTCCTGAAACTACTAAAGAAATCGAATTCTTATTTAAAAGACTTTTAACATAGAAATCTCCAGGCCCACATGGTTTCACTAATGGATTTTACCAAATATCTACCACTCTAATTCAGAAAAATTAAAGAGGAGGAAGAAGGTGCAAAGGCAATTCAATGGAGAAAGAAATGTCTTTTCAACATACAATGTTGGAACTATTGAAGGCACATGCAAAATAAATGAACTTGAGCCAAAATCTCACATCTTACACAAAAATAAGCTTGAGTCATAAATCTAAATATAAACTTTTACAACACGTAAGATGAAATCTTTGTGATTTGAAATTAGGCAGAGTTCTTAGATATGAAAAGCACAGTCCACAAAAAATTGATGTTTATCAAAATTAAACACTTTTGCTCTGAAAGACTGTCAAGAGAATGAAGACAAAGTGACAGTCTCAGCTTTTAGGTGAAAACATTTATGAATCACCTATCTGAAGAGATATCTGTATAGGAAATGTATAAAAAAAAAAATTAAAACCCTACAGTGAGAAGACAACCCAATTTAAAAATGGGCCAAAGGCACTTCACCAAAGAGAATATGTAGATGAAAAATCATCACATGAAAAGACGTTCAACATTTATGAAAATGGAAATTAAAACCATGGTAAGATACTACTACACATCTATTAAAATGCCTTCAGTGGAAATAACTGAAATTACCAAATCCTGGCAAGAATGAGGAGCTACTGAAACTCCATTAGTGATGGGAATATAAAATGGTAGTCATTCTACAAAACAGTTTTGCAGTTTCTTATAAAGTTATACAAATTGCCACATGACCCAGTAATACCATATGTAAGTTTGTAATCCCATATGTAAGTAAAAACTTAACATTCACACAAAAGCCTGTACACAGTATTTATACATGAAAACTGGGAAACAACCCAGATGTCCTGAATTGATAAATTATGACATCCAGACAAAGTAATACTATTCAGTCATAAAAAGAAACAAATTATTCACACAGCTTGGATGCTTCAAAGGCCTATGCTGAGTGAAAGAAGTCAATGTTTGAAAGTTTCATACAGTGTAACTCCAGTATGATGTTATAGTTTATATCCTGATGTCCCCTCAAAGCCTTAGGTGCTCAGAGATGGGTCTATGGGAAGATGATTGGCTCACGGGGCCATAATAATTATCAGATTAGTTCATTGGAGCTTGTATATGACTTGCTGGAGGTGTGCCCTGTACCTGCCTTCACCCTCTTCGAGCCTCATGGTCAGCCGCCATGCTATGAGCCACTTCTGTGCCAGGCCCTTCTGCCATGCTGTCCTGCCTTGGAGCCAGCTGACTAAGGACTGAAAGCTCTACAAACTGAGGCAGAATAAACCTTTCCTCCATTAACTTGTGGGTGTTAAAGAAAAGTGACCAAGACAGAGGACATTCCCATATAGACAATACTATAGTGACAGAAAAGATCAGTGGTTCCCAGGTCATTGAGGTATAACACCAAGGAGCTTTTGAGGGTGAT